AGATCCTCATTAGGACTCTTTAGGTCTGCAATCCAACCTATTTCAGATTGTTTTAGCTCCTAAATTCCCCGCAATAAAATTTCTTTTTTTCTAAGCCTATAGCCATACTTTTTTTCGAAAAAATTATGCACCTTTTCCTTTTCTATTTTGCCTTCAAAATGAATGCTAAGAATGATAGATCCTCATTAGGACTCTTTAGATCTGCAATCCAACCTATTTCAGATTGTTTTAGCTCCTAAATTCCCCGAAATAAAATTGCATTTTTTCTAAGCCTATAGCCTTACTTTTTTTCGAAAAAATTATGTAACTTTTCCTTTTCTATTTTGCCTTCAAAATGAATGCTAAGAATGATAGATCCTCATTAGGACTCTTTAGATCTGCAATCCAACCTATTTCAGATTGTTTTAGCTCCTAAATTCCCCGCAATAAAATTGCCTTTTTTCTAAGCCTATAGCCTTACTTTTTTTCGAAAAAATTATTTTTTTTTCCTTTTCTATTTTGCCTTCAAAATGAATGCTAAGAATGATAGATCCTCATTAGGACTCTTTAGATCTGCAATCCAACCTATTTCAGATTGTTTTAGCTCCTAAATTCCCCGCAATAAAATTGCCTTTTTTCTAAGCCTATAGCCTTACTTTTTTTCGAAAAAATTATTTTTTTTTCCTTTCCTTTTTTGCCTTCAAAATGAATGCTAAGAATGATAGATCCTCATTAGGACACTTTACGGCCCAAATGAGGACTTCTGCATTTTGTATGCCTATTGAGATTGACAGATGGAAAGATTGACTCTTCATAGGTCCTAACTTATTCAAATTAGCTTTCTTTTAAGAAATAAAATTCTTCAGGAATCACAATTTCTTCGAAATATTTGGTACAATTTAGAAGCCTTTGCTACTATGATTGGGGCTAATAAATTGACCTTTATACCTGATAATGTGAAAATTGTTATGACTAGCTACGAGGCTGAACTGAAATATATTTCTTTAAAAAGTGTGTTTTTTCAAGTATTAAAAATCCTTTCCTAGAACATCTGACTATGGCAGAAAACTCGAAGTCCTGCTGACATAAGGGCCCTGGACACAGTGCTAAGTTTCCCCTGATGTGAATACAGCCCTGTCTGATTCGTCTTTGTGTGAGAAGTTCAAGTTTGAGAATATTTTTCCGTACAATGAGTCATGCAACATCACAACACATTTTAAATTAACAAAGGTAATTTTATAAACACATTTCATGTACAAACCTTATCTATTAGCATAAATACTTCGAAAACAGAACAAAAAAGTGAAATGGATAATGGATCCTTTTGATTTGACAGTTCTTTGAAAAGGCAGGAATGGACGATTATCAAATAATTTATGAAATGCAACCAAACAACCAAACAATTGCAAACAAACTTCTACTTTTGGTAACTCTTTTATAAAGCAACTGCAGCATTGCACTCTCAATTATCATCCAACAAAAAGTTAAGCAAAAAACAGTATTATTTTGCTATGGAGACTAACTTTAAAAGGAAACGTGTAATCCAAGATTTTTTAATCTGTAAGACAATCACGCAGCTGGAAATGTTTTTCAATCTTTGGAAAAGTTTAAATTTGTTCGATCAATGTCTCTTAGGTTTCTAATTGGCGCCCATCAGCTAGTAAATTAAAAATAAATTTGCGAATCCTTCGATAGTTTCGGCTACCTCATTGATAGGAATATCCCAAGGCATAACCCTAGGTTAGGGTTAGGGTTAGGGCTTGATTTTTTAAAGAACATCACAAAGCTACAGTTTTAAAGAAAATAACACTGTTCTAAGGTATGTATATCTTGAAGGTATACAGTATACCATAGTTTACTACAATATCTATAGCCAAACTACAGTTTACTACAGTATACTAAAAAAGGATATCTCGATCCTCCTATTGAATGACTACAATTCTTAGAGTTAACGAACGTTATTTGGGAATCTGACCATGAAGATTCATAAAGCATAAAATACAGTTTGAGTTATCAGAAGCTTGTGTCCTCAAAGCTTGTTTCAGTCCTCTAACGACTGCCCAGAGGAAAGTATGAAATTAGATAACTTGGTCATAGAACTTGCGCTTATTACATCTGTGCCAAGAACACTCTCTTCTAGTGGCGGTACTTAAATTGGTTATAGGAGGGTTCGTGTCCCAACTTACATCAACAGGATCTGCATTACATACTTTACAAATCGATAAACATGTACTGAGCAAGGAATGATCAGGTAATTTTTAAGACTTGCCCCCAAAGAGCGGTATTACTTACATAGCACTAAAATTCACTAAAATTCAAATGGTGCCAATGAGGTGTGGCTCCCATATTTTTCATAACTATTATTCAATTTGTGAGTACACGAAAGACTAACAAAATCTGCTCAATGCTGTAACAAACGAATGTAAAATGGAGGAGCAATGTTATGAATTGCACAGAACAGTGCTTGAGGATTCATGCACCCAGTTCTAAATGTTTCTGTTGACAGTGCAAGAAAGCAATGTCACTTGGAACAGGTCTTTGAGTGGCATCTTTCCTCGTTTTCGGCTGGCCAACCGAGGCATCTCAATGAAAACCTTGGTTTTCATGAATTTGTCTAGCTGCACGAAGGAGATCTCACATTCTGTTTCATTGCGCATGTGCACTAGACACAAACCGAGAGTGATCCTGTGACAGTATGGAATGTTTCCCTTTTAATATCCCGCTAGTACCTTAAATAAAACGAGAACCCTTAACGAATGTCGTGGATTTACGATATGTCTGGTATGATATAAGGCTTTTATGATTATAGTTTCTCAAGATGTAATATCTCGTAGCTAGAAAGACTATTTAGTTAGCACGATCCATAACCTTTTGAGACCGTCACTGACCAAAGTTTATAACGATACCATGACTACGACAATGTCCATAAAAAAGTCCAATGCCTTGTTATTGATAAGTCAAAATCTCCTCCCCCAATAGACTTAGGTTTTCGAAGCTTCCTATAATGTTGTAAAGATGACTGCATCTGACTTTATCGTTATAATTGATGCGACAAGAAGCAAAACATTAGGATGCTACGATCGCATCAACCATGCAGAAGACATTGTATGTTATCTTTAAGGTACTGGGATAGTTCATAATCCCATACCTTGTAAGCACGATAATCCAACCGCTGAATTGGGCGTTATTCATTTCATCAGATAAAGGTAGAGAAGTGTTTCAACAAACCTTTATCCCTGCTAGAATTTCCATTCGTATCAATCAACCGGCGATTGTGTGACGGACTCTTTCTCGCCCTCTTCTTTTCACACACTTTTACTCTCCGTGGTTTTGATCTGGACGGTGAAGTCACCTTTCCGCCAACAATTTTCAACTCCACCGCAGATACTTCAGATTGACATGGCCTATTACGGCTTTGACTTCTCCTTAAAAGAAAAACATATAATTCAATTTCAAAATATTTGAATTCATTGATAGTTGTAAGAAACTGTATGGTAGGACGTACTCCTTAATTGTTGCTGTTGTAGTCACTTAATGTACACGTTGAAGTATGCTTTAAAAATTAGATTCAAATGTGATTAGAGACGGTGGCGGCGCCAGCTACTGCAGAGAGTGGGAGGGTAATGGGTGTTGCCCATGAGACCACGCCCTTTTTTCCTCGCTTCAGTGCTTTGTATCAGGTCAAATTTTCTTAGGAAATATGATCTACCCCTATCTAGTGCTTTTTAATCTGTTTTTAGACGAAATATGTAGGACATGATTCGACAAAAGTGGGGGGGGGTGATTACCCCCCATGCCACCCCTTGGCGCCGCCACTGATTAGAGAAGATATATTAGAACGGGTCGAAGTTGGAACCTAAACTAAAATTTACGTTATAATTGATCGAAATTATACAATCCTCTATTGGAATTAGAATTGGAGCCTAAACAATATATCGTTGTTTTTCTTATCTTGTATCTGTAGTACCGAATTTGAGCCACCAGCATATAGAAATTTCTCACAATAATGCTCTGAAAAGTAGAAGCAATTTGCTTGGGCCTGCTTTGCAACATGGTAAACAAACAAAAGTTACCTTTTATTCAAACGGCACCAAAGGAATAAGAGAAGGACGTCAGTAAAGAAGAACGCAGCCACAAGGGCTCCCAACCAAATGACTAATGCCTCATTCTTTTCTCCTTTGAATTCTGAAAAATAAGTAATATCCAATAAATTTCAAATCTGTCAATTAGCGATTTGGAGTCAGCTAGCTGATAGGCAACAACTTATGATATTATCATAAATGCTGTTGAGTCGTGTATACCATTGTAGAAAGTATTCCGAGCAGTCAAAATCCCGGGGCAGTTCTAGCCTACTTTTAAGTCCTTAAAACACTTTGTTTAGTTGTTTGTTCAAAGAACTTATAGCGATTTTTTGGAGGAAGGCTGTTAAAATAGCAGAAATGGCGATGGACCCCCTTGGTTGATTGTTCAGGGTAAGCTCCAGTGTCTATACTTCTTGCTCATTAAATTTTCTGTATTTCCACACGATTCGATAGATTTCTATTGCTTCTTTAGGCTTTAGGCCTCTCCACTTTGAGTTTCAAGATGCCTGAGGTCTGATAAAATCTTATATCCAAATATCTCTATAAAACGTTAATCCAAATATCTTGAACAAAGCTGCCATCTAAATATCAGCAATCATCATTTCGTCATGTGAGGTAAGCTTTTTTTGAAGAATGCAAAAAAATTTTTCAAAGGCGACTAGTAATCTAGATAAAAATCACGATGTCTCGAATAAAGCAGATGGTCTGCGCGATGTTTATTCTCGGGCTCGTGGCTTTCCTTATCAAGATTAAATTCGTGAGGTATTGGCATAGAAAACTACTTTAAAAATGAAGACACTTGTATGGAGAGGCATTTATGTCTAATTAACTAAAGACAAAATAAAGATAAAGCTGTATCTTGCTTCTAACAACGAGCATTTAATTAAATTAATGTTCAGGAGAACACTTTGCTGTATTTTGAGGATTGTTATTTTTACTGTGTTTTGACCTAACATAATAATTCAAAACACTGAAAATTCTGTCATTTTGTCTACATATCTTGACTATTACAACAAAGATAATTATCACGAATTCCGGATTCCACATTCCGTGTTTAACAGGGACCTTTTGAGGAAGTTTCTGCTTTTTGCCACAGAAAAGGGAAAATGGTTGAGTACAGTAGCAACTCGCATAAAGAACTTGTTTTTATAAGAACATTGAGGCTGGAATTTAATCTTTTGAAACCCCATAATTAAGAACCCCCAGGAGGCTGAAATTTGAAAAGGTTCTTATAAATATATATAAAAGAAAATGGCTTTTAGAGTAAACCAGGTTATGGTATGTTGAATTCTAATTGGATAATCAAACAACACAAATTAATTTGATTGGTTGAAATTTAACATAAAAAGAGTTGGTTTAGGTGTGTCCATTGGAATTCTTGCGGTGGAAAAAATTGTTGATGTATACAAGGCCTGTACGTATATAAGAACCTTGTTAAGACCCTTTTAGACTGGAATTTAGAATAGCAGCCTGTTAATTAGGAACCTATTCAGGCTGCCAGAAAAAACCTAGGTTCTTTTAAACGGGTTTCTACTGTAACTGGACACTCAGAAGATAACAACAGCTAATCAGCAAATCTTTAGATGAAACAATTTTCAAATAACCATAGTTTTCAAATTGACTTCGTTTTGATGCTAGGAAAAGAAAATGTGAAAAATATGAAAAATAATAAAATAAAATTCAAACCTTTTTCATATTTTTGAGATCCTGGCGAGCAGCTCGTTTCTGAATCATTCTTTGATATCTCATTAGAAATTTTCTTTCCAAGAACGTGTGTTGCAGCGTAGGATGTTGTGCCTATGTTTGGTGGTGCACTGGTTGAAGGTGTCGCATATACCCTTTTAACTACTGTCGTTTCCGTTGGAGATGAACAGCTACATGAGACCCCTGTTGTCACTACAGCTGTCTTTAGAGTCTCTTTGCAACCTTTTTCTTTCATTGTTATGGTTACTTGTGTATAACATTTAGCTGGTGGTGGCGTGGCAAATGATGGTGTTGTTCGACCTAAAATGTGCAAAATATCGGATAAAAATTACCAGGGTTTTCTATGTACCAAATGAAAGGCCTGTATAAGCTGAAGAAATATGGACTTTTTTTACTATCATAAGCATAATATTTCAAAAATTATATATGACCAAAAGCAATTATTGACGTCATCGATCACGTGACTTCCAGAAAATATTTTTTGGGCCCATTTCGGAAAATCAATCGGTTATCGATAAACAACAATATTCTGAAGTCAGACTTGGTATTAGACACTTGCTTACTTTTTCACGACAATTTCCCTGTCTATAAAGATCTTTTATAAATTTTGCACACAATGTGAACTTGAGCAGTCTTAAAAACATGGAAATCTTTAAAGGAGGCCCATAGTTATAAACCTACGGTGCCCTAAAAGTGCATTACGCCCGGAACTACGGCATGATGTAAAGTATTGAAAAAAGGTATAGGAAATAGAAAGATGACACTAACTTATGTAGATAAAAGCAAACAAAGGAATGACAAATGCTGCTAAAGCAATATAATTTATGGGTAAATTAATAAAAATTTTCTTTCAAATACTTTTTTGAAGAGGTTTATCTTCAAATTTCGATTAATCAAAAATAGACCTTCGGACTCAGACATATAGCTGAAGTATTAATGAATCAAATTTTCCTTACATTCTATTTAAGTTGTATCTTTATAAATAACAACTTATGCCTTTTCAAAATGGATTATTTAATAAAAGATTAGTTGTTATACTATAAAAGATTGTTGATGACGGCATGGGAATTCAAAATACTGGACGTGACCCAGCCGACAGCCAGGGCATAAATGTTTTCGTAAAATTATCTCTTAGGTCACTTAAGTTTTATTAAGTTTTTTATTGTTCGAGCTGGCAAGCATTGACCGCAGAATATAAGTAATTTAGGCAGGCCAAGTACATAACGATTAAAAAAGTATTTTGTTATGCAAATGGAAGTATAAGGGAGCACCAGCCATGTATTTACGAAAATTGTATTTACGCATTATTTCCCGAAATCGCAGAATGATTTTTCAGCATACAGAAAAGACTGTGTTTGTCTAATAGTCCTCTGATATTAAAGTCATGCCTTCCAGGGCAATTGAAGATGGTCAATTTCCTTAGAAGAACGTAATTTTAGTCACCAGAATTTGATAGCACTCCTTGAAATATCTGTAGTTTCATAAATACAAACCTAACTACTCATAAATTATCTACCTAGGCAGTCAATGAAGGATAAACTAAACTATATCGCTGAAGACGAGACTGAAATCTTTTTCCAATTTTTCAGAATGTTTCAAATTTACGGCCTAGTCGCCCTCTTTTTCAAACGTTTCCCATTGCATCGAGTTGATAACCCTCATGTAGGCCTTAATGCAAATGATAGCCCGCAAGCGTACACTTAACAACCAAACCAATTGTTATTAAACTAATCGAACAAGCATTGCAACATTGAAAAAGAAGACTTGTACTGTAAAAATATTTTTCACGAATTTCAGTATTATTCATTTCGATATTTTAGTAGTCCCTCCTTTGCTCTTTTGCATATACCCTAAAACCAAGTCACAATGCTTCCAGCATAGATCCTTAACCTTATGACAAGTCGAGAACACACTACAGTTCCACGGTTGAGAACAGGAGGAATGTTATCAAAGAATGAAGTAGTTTTGAGGAAGACAAATGCATAACTTGACAAGAGTAAAGAAAGTGAGAGAAATTTAAAGTTGTGCTTTAACTTTTCTTCTTCCCTGGACAAGATTAAAGACTAACCAATAGAAAATTGCATTTCTAAGAAACTTCTTTTCAAAAGATACAAGGATGCATTTCGAGGAAAATTTCATCCGGAGGAAGTTAAGGCGTTTTCTAAGCCTCAATATGACTGCAGCACACAGCATGAAAACGAGAAAGAGCATTCGATAAATGGGCAATAATCTGAATTTTCATTGTACACCTCTTACTTTCAGAATTGCTACTGTACCACAATTTGGCTGAGCAATAAGTACCCTTACGCACGTTATCAGACAGGCGTTATCTAAACCTACGTAAATAAAGATATCTTGTAGATAAGAGGTCTCCTTGTAAAAAAATTTTAATCAACCACAAACTCACCAAATGATTGCAAGGCGAGACAATCTTAAAAATGTTAAAAAAGCCATTGGTACTGCAAGGTGTAAAAATGTGGTACAGAAGATAGGGTTACGAAAATGCGGAACCCTAGAGCTGTACACTACCTTCATCGAAACAAAAACCCGAGAGTTCGCCTTTCGCACCGGAATCGTCAGCTGTCTGAAGGGTTAGTAGATACCGATTGGTCGAAAAAGAGCCAATCGAATACAGCATACTTTTCTAGCAGTCAAGTACCAGGAAACGACACTTGACTCATGTTATCAATAATTCACATTCTGGGTAGCGTCCGACGAAGAGGTACTTTAACTATTAAATATGGTTGTTTGACATTGCAATTTCAAAATTTGCTCAAGCTATGATAGGCTTACTCGGCGGGGCTGGGGTTCAGCTGCACCTCCATAGAATTGAAAATATCTTAAAAATTTACAGCAAATCGGGTAAAAAAACAATACTCGAGCAACTTTTTTGGAAACACAGCGGACAAGCGCCCCCCATTTGTTGGCGCCCGTTTGCTTGTGATAATTTAGTATCGAGAATGCAGTGGCAAACTTATAATACCCAAAGTATAACACTAATCTCACAACTCACCTCCTTTTAAAGGATATGCTTTCCATCTGGCGCGGAACCCTTTATTTGCAGTAGTCTTATCAGAAACGAAAGTTACCAAAACCTTGTTATTGTCCGAAGTGTACCCGGGAGGGAGCCGCTCTCCGCAATACCTTTTAGTCCGGTCTCCATCGGCATTTGCTATGAATACATAGTCATATAAACATTTTTTGTTTGTCTCTATTTTGAATTCTGTAAAGTTCAGTTTTATAACTGTGCCTTGAGGTGCACTGATCACCCATAGAACCGTCACATTGACTGGATAGGTTGAAGGGTAGTTCGGGCTTGTGAAACTGCCTTGCTCTCCCTGAAGTTCAAAGTTGATGGCTGAAAAACAAAAAAGCTGCATGTCAGTTTCAGGAAGATGCTACGAGAAATAATATTGAAAATAATACCTTTTTTACTAATACACACCAGCATGAGGCAATTTTAGAGATTGCATCATGGAATTTTCTGTGATCACAAGAGTGGCAGGCGAATTATTATTCGTTATACAAAATTTTTGAAATACTTATCTATTATGAGAACTTTGAATTAATTATGCATCTATGGATGACTTTTGAGATGCATTTTTGAGAGAAAAGATGTAATTACAGTAAATCTCCAGGTATGAAGACCTATGAATTGAAGAACCCCCATCGTGGCGTTCTTTGATTAAGCTCCTTGCATTGTTTGTGCCTGACAATAACCTAAAAATCTGTATTGGCAAGAACCTAACAATTTGACTCAACTCGGAGAAAAAATTGAACTCAGATCCCTTTTTAAAATATTTTGCTATTTTAGCACCCCACCTGCTCCCAAATGAAGGGAAAATTCCCCCTTTGAAATAAGAACCTTTGACCCTGAAATGACCTTATGCACCTTATATGTATCTATGTATACCTTCAGAATAAGTATCAAAAATAATATGGTGCCCGAAAACTTAATTGTTTCTTTGTGGAACCATCTGCAAAGTCATTACGAATTTACAAGTTCCAGCATCTCAAAACACAAAAAGTTCCAGCATCAATTCATGTTTATTTTAACCTTTTTCAAATAGTACAGTCCAAATTGACTTGTATTCAATATCAGGGTTCATTCTAGTTTTTGCAAATTTGCTTTGCTCTTGCTCACAAATTGGTATTTGGCAAGTTTAAGACAGGAACTTTGCCATATAACCCATTTATAACGTAATCTCTTTAAAGACAGAGAAACCAGGGGCACAGAGGCAAATGCCCCCACATTTTCATAAACAGAGGTTAAATACCTATTTGCATATCAAATAGGAGCCTCTATTTGGTAATAGGTTAGTCCATGTTCAAAATGCTTTCAAGTCGATGAAAACGTTCAATCTATTTTTGGAATGTATGGTATCTCAAGAACAACTACCTTGGTCATTCTTGACTTTAATTTTTGCGATAATCTTAAGAGCAATAAAGTTTATATCCGAGTTGTGAATTTTTTGTTTAGTATTAAACTTTGTCCCGTACAATAATGTTTATAAATTGTGAAACTAGCGTAGGCTGGTGACTATAAACAATTCCCTAGTGACTTTTCATAAAGATCACAGAGAGATAAAACATGGTTTTATGTCTGAAATAACATAAATATCACATTATGAAACCTTTTCTGGAAATATTAAGTCTCAGAAAGTTTTATCTCTGCTAGATTTTCTGTCGACCACAAATATTATACAACATCGCAAGGATATAACTCACTGAGTTTAATACGGGAATGCAAGTTTGCTGAGTTTAGCAGTGAAAATACCAGGATGTAACTTAAATGTTCAAGAACATAAAAGGCAGTATCCTCAAGTGTTATCATTCCCAACCTGTTGAAATGTCAAGCATAGGAAATGAGAAAATCTAATCTGCTTTAAAATGATGAAAACTAAGGAAATTTATTTTGTCGACTTAAGTACAGTCGTAAGGTGAAAATTTAGCTTATATAACTCAATTTTCAGAAGTTCATAACACATCACTCCTGTCTGAAATTATCGACTTTTCAAACTGTTACGCAATTTCCATTTTTCTTTAACGTTGAAAAATACTCGTGGACTACAGATCTAAGGGTCTGTAATTTGAGTACCTGATATGACCAAAGTTTTACTTAAAGTAAGGAGCCTGTCCAGTTCTCTACAGTTCCAGGCGTAGGAATTACGAGGTATGGCTTCTCAGTCTCCCTAAAACTACCTGCCGAACTTGGTAGTGACAAGTACAATAAAATGCAATACAATAAAATTGACCCGTGAAAGGTTACGCAATTTTTTAATAACTTTTTATCGTGCCAAAATATTCCAACCAAAATTAGACGATATTTCTTTAAATTTTGCATTCTTACTGCTGAGAGTGTAGTCAGTTTGGGACTTCAAACTGGTTATCTTCAAAAACCTTTATGATTTCAACGAACACTCATGAACCCAATGGCAGGGATGCTGTCCTGCAAACCTAGATGGGGCGCTGTGTTGAAGGCAACTTTTTTAAGGCACACCCATGGCCGCAACAATTTCCACACCAAACATACTTGCGCTTGTTTTGAAGATTTTGGGACATGTAAATGAAATATTTCAAACTTTTCATCGACTTAAAAATAATAAGAAATAATCAACAGACCCATCAAAGATGACATTTCACTGTTAAATTTAATACAATACAATTGCATGTTTTTTCAGTGTAAAGCATGTTTTTTCATAGGTATTGACAGAAGAAAGAATGTCTCTTAAAATTAATTACATTTCCGGCTCAAGAACGACAAAAAGACAGCTAGGAAATTGGTCACTTGTTAAGAAGGGGTTAAGCCCTCCATAATCTAGTTGCTAATTTTTATAAGAATTATATGAACACCAAGGCTCGATATGCTAATTATCGATTTTTACATTCATGTTGGCAAAACAGAGCAGACTTTATCGACAAATCGACCGTGCTGCTAATGTCATGCAAAAACTGTTATTCAGTAGTTTGATAATGAATATATAGCAGGTAGTTTTAGTAAACCAATTAAGAAATAAGAGCGAAATTTAAAACACTCGAGACTCAAATTTTCCAAGAACAAAAACATCGTGCTTCTGCAGAAATTATCTGGTCCTTGTAAAAGGTCTATTTTCAATTAACCGTTCTGGCTATCTTTAATTTTCTGGGTACACTCCTTTCAGCAAATTTCTAAATTCTTTCCATTCGTACTTTCAACCTCTCACTGGGCGGAATTGGTTTTTGAGTGATCTTCAAACTTTTCAGACACACTGTCAGGTTCTTTGATATTGTTCAAATTAAATGCTGACAGATATGTTATCAACATTGTCAATTACTGTTTAAGAATGTTTCTTTAGAGAACTTTAAAGATTACTAAACAATTAACTACGAAGATTAAAATTCTGTCATTTTATGACTCAATTTCTCTTGTTATACAACATACATTTTTATTAGCAAATTAACATTATCAAGATCCTACGCATTCGCCTGTTAATATATTATCTAATATCAAATTTTATCATTAAGATTATCTTTTTTTGTGTCTATAGGTTCTATAAGATACTAAGTCGATTGTACTGATCAGAAAGCTCTTTCTTCTTTGTTGCTTCATAAATCGATTTCATAGATACTCGATAGGAACTTTCACGAGGGAATGACTAGAATCGAACGAGTCTAAACCCACAATTTTTTAATTATTATTATGAAAATGGAAAATCTTTAGAAAAGCAGACAGGCTACTTTAATCAGGTTTGAAAATATTTGCTAAAACAACGTAGTTTCTTCCAGTCCTTGATTCAATTTTTGGAGCGATGGCAACACAAAAGATGTTCGCCCTTGTAAGGGAGATAACATTTAGGTACCGTATCGAAAAATCTGAGACACGATGAAACAATATTTCACTTGCCCTTCTTCAAAATTTATGTTTTTCTACAATTTTTCTCATCCAGCTCACAGATGTAGAAGCATTGTTACTGCGCATGCTCGTAAGACGAACATTCTTGGTCCCAGGCCTTTATTGCATTACTTTAGTTCGTAATCCCAACGTGAGTAGAGAAATTTCCCAAGGCTTTTTACTAAATGACAAACTATTCCAATTTGACAAAAAGCGATTTAGTCATAACTTTCTAATGGTCATTGTAAAAGGTTTTAAATTAAATGCAAAAAGCATAAAGCTTAAATTAAGTTTTACCAATACCTTCAACTTTATCCTGAAAACCACAGTTAACATTGTCCTTAAGTTCTTTCATTTAATGACATATTGGTATGACCAAAGGGTTATAGGGCCTAATCATTAATATACAGCTAAGGCCTATTTGACAGGCACGAAGCATCGTATTACGCTTATGGTTTTATGGGCAACGGTCGTAGATCCAATTCATTTGAGCAAGACATTGGGCTGTAAAATCACTGCTTTTACCATCAAATTTCAAATCTAGATTATACTTAGCTTATACAGATTTCACAAAACTCATTTCGCCAACTAAATAACAATGCAACTTGGTTTTTATTCAAAGAATGATTACAATTTGTCTTTAAAGCTCTTTTGCTAATCTTAATCATCTTTTCGATTATAGTTGAGAATCGTATTAAGAAAAATAATCCACAACATAGCAATGCATTGTTTTGTACTGTCTAACTTTCAGGGTATGAATGCAACTCCAATCAAATATTGTTTAAGGAAAACCTTTTTAATATGAGCGATTCTTGTGTAGTGCAGCTTTGTCAATTTCCGACTTACAATTTGGGAGTCTTGACTTAGCTGTACTAAGAGCGTTCAGGGAAATTTTAATCGCATTCTACAAATGGACATAAGACTAGGATCAGCCATAAAATTTGGATCAAATCAACAAAGTCATTTCGCTTTGAATGAATTTGCAGAAAACAAATCATATTCTTTAAGCGACAGCGATTGAAAGGGCGTTGAAAGAAAAGGAAAAATGCATGGGTGGTGGACCTTTCACTTTAAGATTTATGCAATGAAAGGGTTAAGTTGAAAGGGGTAGGGTGGCAAGACTTTATCGATCACGTTATTAACATAAGTGGTTTAAAAGTGATGGATGGTATTTTAAACTCAAACCCTGAAAATATAACGAGACAAAATTTAAAAGATCTTTGTTAGTTTTTGCTTCATATGTTCCAATTTTTTATGAGAAATTACTTGAACAATGTTCTTATAAGAACAATTTTTTAAGAACACGAGCCTAAAAATTGGTAAAAAGTTAAGAACAAAATAAGAACAAGCTAAGGCTGAGCTACTGTAAAATGTAATTTTAAACATCGTTTCATCTTAAAAACAAGGATTTTTAGCCATGTGTGGGTGCTTTTTTGGTGAATTTTCAAATTTGTCGGTAAATGAAGGTTGTCTCACTCATTTTGTTAGCAAATGAGGCCTGAACACCTCTCTAGAGCGAAAGGCCAGCAATTGCACTGCTTACAGCAATAAAAAAACAATAAAAAAAGCCACATCCAGAGTAAAGTTATTGTCGCGTATACGGCATAATATAAGTCCTTACACGGCAGAAACAATTTACAAGGTAACAATTTTACCAATTCTGCTTTATTGTAACAATGTGTTCCTTCACATGGCACCATCAAAAAAGATGGTGTATGAGAACATTCAGAGACGGGCACTGAAAGTAATAAATGGCAACAGAGACAGTGTACAGCTGGAGAAAGTCAGTAGTATACGAAACAAGATGTGTGCTCTTGAAGTTTTCAAAAGTTTGAATAGCGTATCGCCACACGCCTTTCGAAACTATTTCACTAGAGTAAAACACAGGCAGTGTACTCGTGCCAATGCAAACAATATTGTTTTGCCCAAAGTACAATCAGAAGCAGGCAAGAAGGCCTTTTACTTTCAAGGAGCAAAGATTTTTAATAAACTAACAGACGAAATGAAGTGTGAAACTTCAATTCTAAGATTTAAGACTTTTTGTAAAAATTTTAACTTCGACTTTTAAGATTTCATTTTCATCATGTATTTAAATTTTATTTCGGTAATCCATGTATATTTTAGACAGGTCCTTTATTGATAACAGCACGTTGTTGCTGACCAAAGTTAACCTGTATAAATATGATATTATTATTATTATTATTATTACATCCTATCAATTTAAGAACAAATTAAGAACAATCCAGCCTCAGGTTTTTGAAAAAATTAAGAACAGTCAGCCTGAACCTTAATTTACTGATTCTTATAAAAAAGACTTATAAAAAAAACTTTTACAGATGGGAGGTAAAGCAACAAATAAATAATCAGGTGACTTCAGATATACTGGACCTTTTCTCTCCCTAGATTGAGAAAGCGACTTATTCAACACGATATTCAAAACTTTCTGGAGGTCTGCCAACCTTTTATAGTGTCATTCTAGTTTATATGTTGTGAAACTTGCGAAAGATTGTGAAAGATATGTAGGAAACGAAAATGAAATGCGGAAGAAATTCAACCAATTTCGATCTCCTAAAATGTGTTAGTTGCGAGTGGTAATTCAAATGAAGACAATTTAATAAGTAAACGATGTATGTGTCAAAATACGACATTTCGAGCACTTTCTCTTTGCCAAGTGATCTATTACTCCATGATTTAAAATTTCATAAACACAAAACAAACGAACAGATAAATTTATTTGATAAGCAAGTTAGTTACTGGCAGCTTTGGCTGAAGGGACGTAACACATTATACTATAAACAAATTTATACTGCATATATACAGTAAAGGAAATTGTTCAAATATAGCTGATAAAACAAGGCAGGTTTGTACATTCTGCAGTATGGAACTTGGCTGGATGTTTATTTTGAAAATACGTGTATCCGCAAAATATGAGTTCCAGTGTTTTAAACCAAAACAGAAATGTGTTTATTTTGATTCCGATCTAGAATTTTCTATTTTGTACATACATGCCAAAAGTATCTGTTGCTTTTCTTGAATTTGATACTGATCAAATACGAAACGAATTTGACAAACTTTTAAGTCATTAGAGTGTCTGAGACGCCCATTTGCCGCTGATGAAGGAGTTAAAAATTAGCCACGGCACTACCATTCGTTGCGATGGCAAACAGATTGAAAACTCGAAAAAGTTCATTGATTATGTTTTTATTGCATCTTGAAAAACAACTAGAGATTGTTTAAATCGTAAGTATTGTTAACAAAAATACAATGCATTGAAATACTGCAGTTTACATCAATATCTCTATATGAAAATATCGAGCCTAGAATAACATTCTGCATTGTATACGGATACACTTGCTTCGGTTGAAACCCGCTGTCAATATGCCTCCTTTGCGGTAAAATTCTTGCATTGAGAATGCTCAATTACTAACAAATAGTGGCTAAAATATCAACGGGATAATCTCGGACACAGCAGACAATGCAAGGTTTATTCTTACTCAATATAGTTCTTTATAGTAATGGATTAATCGAACAGGCTGCCTGAGTGACGAGGTACTTACTTTTACTGCAAGCGAATGAAACGAAGAAGCACTCCAAAAGGACCACATGGACAAACCAACGCATTACCACCATTATTCGGCGCGCTAAACTTCATTGAATAATGAATATGACATATGCAGAGACCAGGAAACTAGACAAGAATGTAAACATAAAAAGCGGCTTTTTGCAGTGTATTTACCGAGCATAAACACGCGGAATTGCCACAGCCCGTCTTTGCCCAGATCAGCGAAGAGATGTACACTGCTCTCGACAAATGACGGTTTTCTCAGAAAATCAAATATTGAACCGCAAAAATGACGGAAACAATTCCACTGGACGTCGTTGTTTACAAACTCTACTAAAAAAGAACAAAGCTGCCACCAAAGGCCGTGACCCTAGAATCTAGAGATTAGGTGCATGAACTCAACCAAGTTGTGGCCATTGAAAAGGACTCTATAAAGCTATCAAATAAATGATGGATAAAAGTCAACAAGATACCTAATGCAGACATGCCTTTTCTGGGATTACAGTAAATCATAAAAGGCAAACTTATCGATTTAAAATCTATGACCTGGCTTAGCCATAATAGGAATGTGATTCTGCCGATAGATTGAGCTAACAGTTTGTTATCTGTAGAATGAAACAAAATCAAACATGGTATCTACATTCTATTGAGTCTCACAGAGGGTATCTGACGAGCCAAACTTCTGGCGGCCTCGGGGTCTCACAGAGGGTATCTGACGAGCACGTGTGACAACATTCAACCACTCTCCATTTATCTTGGTCGCGAAGTTGTTAGTTGGTGAAAGAAAAACCTTTTTATAAGTTGATCATGAAGTACACTCCTTTTTTTTAATAAGAACAATTTTATAAGAACACGAGCCTCAAAACTGGTCGAAAGTTAAGAACAAATTAAGAACAAGTTGAGGCTGAGCTTCTGCAAAATGCAATTTCTAACAACGTTTTTTCTCAAAATCGAGGATTTTTAGCGATGTGTGGGTGCTTTTTCGGTGAATATTCTAATTTGTCAGCAAATTAAGGCTGTCTCACTCACTTTGTTGGCAAATGAGTCCTGAACACCTCATTAGAGCGAAAAAGCTAGCAATTGCACTGCCTACATCCTCCTGATTTAAGAACAAATTAAGAATAATCCAGCCTCAGATTTTCGAAAAAATTAAGAACAGTCAGCCTGAGCTTAAATATACTGGTTCTTATAAAAAAAGAGTGTAATACAAACAAAATAGAGTTTATATTCTTTTATGAAATTTTAAATCTTCGGTGATAAAATATCACATATCACATATCACTTGTCAACTTGTCAAAACAGGGCCATTCAACCTGCACGCTTTTTTTAGGGGCAGATCCAGAGGAAATTTGGAGGAGGGGCAGTTGGTAGTGGAGGCGCTGAATAATTTTCACAAAAATTGGTGACGAGAGTACGTTGTATACAACAATTTCAGACACTAACCAGGGACAGAAGGCTCTCTATTCACTTTCAAGGGAAATTTTCACAATAAATATGCCAAAAAATGATATACCATCTGAGCATGACTGAAGGCCTCTTTTTAAAACTTTTCTCTAAATAGATAGATCCGCCATAGTGGCCCAACTCTGCAAGAGCTCTTTCCAAAAAGAGCTGACTTGAATGATATTTCCTTACAGTCAAATCGAATTTTTTTTGGGTGGGGGAGGGGGCAGAAAATTTGTCGCTTTCAGTCGCTTTAACCAAGGATCCTAGGCACAACAAACAAATGATTATGCTCCATAGTTCTTCTACTTGGTTTGATTATGACATGAAGATTGGACAACTTTTAAGCGCAAGAAACTGAACAATGTGTGAATGAAGGCAAGAAGACAACTTTATGGATAACCTATGTTGTCTTCCAAAGCGTGACTTTTAGCAAAATATGATCAATTCTCGGAATAAACAACATAACTTTGAGGTAATCCTTAAAGTTAATTAAGCTATCGGTCTCAGAAACTTTTTCACTTGACTCTCATTCTCCAAAGGGGCGCCAGACTTGCTTCAACTCGTTGAGGGAGGGGCAACTGCCCCTAGTGGCCCCCTTCAAATCCCAACTGGCTTTTTATAGGAACACTTGGCTCCTGTTTCAGTCTGGCATTTGTTAATTTTCCGCAAAATTTCAGTCTGGCGTGTTTCTTATTTTTGTTTTGTTTTTGTAATGGAATATCCTATGCATAGTAGTGTCCGGACATAACCTGTGCCTGCAAAGGAATCAATGCTATTTTGCTTATCGCTTTCTGTTTTTCTGTCGTTATTCTTTCACTTCAATTTTTGCTGGTATTATATTTCTCAAGTTTTGTTTAGTTGCACCCTGCCTTGTTTCTTGTGTTGTTCTTATTTTGGGACAAATCTTTGCCTGATGTTTATTATAAGGTTTGTTCATATGAAATAAAGTGAGGACTCTTTTTAAGAGATACCTAGTATCAAAATCACCAAAAACACCAAGAAACTAAGAAACTGAGTGATAATTCTGAGCTTGCTTTCTCAAAAAGTTAATTTAACATTTATTAAATTTTGAAAAAATTTATCTCTTTGCTAGATTGTTCGCTCTACAGCACCATCCCCCAACCAAAGGAGCTGAACGGCTTTTGCCTAACGATGCTCTAATTTTTAAAACTAATAACCAAAGCTTAAAATGTACTAATTGCGGTCGACGCCTTCATTCCTATCAAGCTAGTTTGCAATGATTTGCTGTGGGATTTGGACTAATCTAAAGAGACTGTTTTAAACTCGTGGCTCTTTGAGGCAAACCAATACATTCTTATGGTTCATAAGAGCCAAATAATTTGGCACGACGTTCACATTTTTTGGATAATTATGATGTTTTAACTTGGAACGGATTTTTTTACAACTACAAACAATATAACATTTCCAAGACCACTTAATAACAGCTCTATTCTACTTAACATTTTTAGAAGCATCGTTCTAAGGTGACAAGATTTGCTCTGTTTTGTTCAAACGAGAGAAACTTTGAAAACACATTGTTTTATCATTTTATTTTTCATCTGAGATTGGTCATGTTCTTATGTTGGTCTTATTTTACGGCAAATTAGCCTAGGTTCAATTTATAAAGAACAAGGTCGTATGTATTACCCCTGAAATATTCATCTTCATCCATCCAATTATCTACACTCTAAGCTATCATAAACATCGTCTGAAAATATAGATTTCTTTAGATTAAGACCACACAAAAAAGCAGATGGATTATCAGGTTTGGGGAGAGGTGCATTCCAAACAGACACGTGTAACGTACAGAGTCTGTTCAATAAGTAACGTTCACGTGCATTATACGCCTCTGTTTCAACTAGATACGCGACTAGATATTGGAAAGTCACTTTCTGTCTGGAAACAGAGAAAAGAAGATTTCGTTCTTCAATGTAAACAGAGCTCATATAAAATAAACTATCACGTCAAGAACACCACCACTGCATTACTTTGCAAGTAATGTAATGAGCGTTAGAAACTATTTCCCAAGGTCTGTAATAGAATTGATTCTGTGTGTAAAGCTAAATGCTGGAAATAGGATTGAGATCATATTTTGGCAGTGCACTGTTGAATGAAGCATTGAAGAGTGAATTTTGCTTTCTAGATTGCTAAAGCAGAGTCCAGAAAAGTTGTTAACCTTCCTCCAGACAAAAACATCCCAGAAGGCAAACCTTCTTCACAAACAATAGAAAGTGGGCGTGGCTTGGGTGTGTCATAGGAGCTTCTATTGTTTTTCGTGGACCTTCCTCCGGTCAGTGGCCGTGCGACCGTAATGTTTTCCTGACTCTGTGCTTAAGAGTCCTTTTATCAATAGCTGTGATATTTTATTTACGACAGTATACGACGCTTTTGGATTCGATTAGAGAGATTAGATTTGAAACGATGCCTTTGGTTTTAAAACTTCTCATGGCAACTGTATAAGGGACAATGAATTACAATGGCAAGAAAAGAATAACAGCAAGGAAATGGGATAACAACATAGTTGACGGCTAAAACTGGTTTAAAATTGTAGCTGAAGATGATTTGTGACGTCATCATTGGAGACTGGTATTCCAAGAAATTGTGACGTCACCAATGGATATAGTGACATCACTCGAGAATGTCATGCAAGTATGAAGCATTTCAAGTTGAGTTGGAACCACATTAATTGTTTGCTAATAAACATTCGCACGAAAAGCTATTATTTTGGCACAGTTATCTTCCTTAGCTATAAAATAAAATTATATTTTGTCCTCAAAAATGACTTTGAACGTCATTGAAACGTCTTTCAAAGCCATTTTGTACCATCAAAGACTTTTTCGTAATGTCCTTTATTTAGATAACATTAAAAACTCTATAATGAATCTAAATGCTTAATTCCCTTCCCCCTGGAAGCTTTTTGATGCAGAAAAGATTTTTCGAAAACAATGAAACCAGCACATTTTCTTACATAAACCGATTTTAGGAATCAAGGTATGTAATGAACATGAGACTTTTTTTTAACAATGTTTTCATTCAAAGTTTTTAGCGACCCTATAGCAAACTTTAAGCCAGTGCTAAGGTTAAAAAGCATACGCTCCAACTTTTAGTTTTCAAAGGAGTGATTCTGAATTTCAAATGTAAATATCGTTTTAAAGATTGGCTCGTGTCATTTGCAAGGCGAATTCTAATCTCAATAATTGACAATTAAGCGAATGAAAATGTACTGAGAACAGAGAAACTTGACTTCTAAAAGCACCATTTTGATTTTTCGTCACTTAACTGAATAGAATATGCTGTATTTTTTGTTTACCAAAAATCTGCTTATCGAGAATAGCTACCAGGGGGTGGCTGAGCCCTTTAAACATTTATCAGAGAGGGATGAAGCCCCAAAGCCCCCCACGAAGTCGGCGCCTATGTCAGAAGTCACATGGAGAAGTACTTGAGTCACTGTGCAAGAACTGTAGGTTTTTTGGCATATACATATTTCAAAATTGAGCACAAAACCGCTTGTCAGTGATGAGTATCTTGAAGATATAGACACTCAATACACAAACATGGATGTATGAAGTGAAATGAGCGTCAAGCTTCAGTGCTAGGCCCGTTATTACTAATTATGAACCTCAGTGAGTAGAAAGAAATTAGGGCACTTGAAATTCGCCACCTTAAGTCAGCTTTTGCAAAACTTGGTAAAAGAAGTTAAGACTAATTTGTTTCTCTGCTTTTACCTAAAGCAATAAGACGTAATGGAGGTAACTATGTCGTCATATTTGAATGAAACTAAAGGATGTTAACCAGTAAAGCGTGTGTTAGGAAAGATTAAATAATGCATACAAGGAAACTTCGAATAGGGACAGATCTTCAAACTACATCGCAATATTCTCACTTTCTGTAAATCAAAATTTATACCAAGGTAGGTAATTTATTGCAATCACATCCAAAAAAATATCATTAGAAGATATTAATCGGAGGGGAACCTAAAGCGTGAAATAGAATATATCCATGTATACAGAAGGAATTTGCTGGAAGAAAGTTGAGACTTTCAACAAAACGACTTTTAGCTAAACACTCAAAGCTCATCAAACATTTAACATCATAATGTTTGGACGAGAATATTTCAGACAAAAAATATTGCTGAAGACATTATTGGAAATTTCGCCGAGTTTTCGGATGATAAATTTGCAGACAAAAACATACTTCTGGTCTTCTGTATTTTGTTTGTAAAATTAACAAATCAATCCTAAATTAAGTTTTTTATTCCTAGAAGAATAAGAAGTATGCCATTTCCTCGGACAAACTATGTTCGTTTTCCCCCGAATCTACATAAAATTCGAAATGGTTCTACAACAGAAAATGTAAATATGAAGAAGCAGACTTGTTAAAAAGTTTTGTGTGACATAAACTTCAGAAAAAGACGACATTTTACAAGTTTCTTTGACTGGGTGAAAATTAGAAACGGAAAAAACATTTTGAAAACTGGTGTATTCGTTATAAAAAGGGATAGGCGTAGAAACTGTTTTGCCAAAGAGAAACGATAATTTAGCTTCGAATATGGCAAACAAAAATGATCGCCACGTATATAGCAAACAGCAATAAACAGAACATTAAGATATAAGTACAACACTAGGATTTCTAGATAAAGATCAAAGTAGGGTCCTGGGTAATAGCCCAACATCAGGTAAATGTCATGGTTCTTTAGTCGTGAACACTACATGATGTTAGAACATTTTAATACATTTAAGACAAAATACCATGCTACAAAATTTGGATAAATTCCGCTTGAGATATGAAGGGCTACATAATGTTTCATTATTTTGGTAAGATTCTAGGGGTAGAAGCTGATAAAAGGTTTTTTTTCACAACTGTGGCCAATTGAGAGATATTCAAATTGTTACCTTGAAGACTGGGGCATAAAGCAGCTCATGTCATAATAACATATCATGATAAAAATTCGAAAAATAACAGCATAATGCTGATACAGGTTTGACAAATAAGAAAGAATGAGACAGTGATAGATAAAATGACTTTTGTTAGACAATGATAAGAATGGCATATAGCACTATCTGAATCTAACATCGCCTGAAAAGCTTAAAGCTTATATTGCTTCCCCATTCTTAGTGAAAAAATCTTTGCTCAGAACAGTTCCTTGTTACAATTTCTGGCTACAAATGATGCTGTCTTTCCTCTACGCATGCTCATAGGCATTGGACACATAGGGTCTGGGAGGGTTGCAGCCTCCTTTCCAATCAGGCAAGCTGCGTGAATTTCAGGCCAATTCAGCAGGCAAGTTCATCCATGATGCCCCCCCCCTTTAACCTTCAGCCTTCGCTACGCCCATGCACATGTCTGTGCTGCAATCTAACTTTGTGGTGTGTCCAATTTTTGGGAAAGTCCTGTTCTACTTTCAAAAAAAGCTTTCAGATTTAACTTTGGCTTTCAAAAGCCTTCAAATAAGTAGATAGAAATGAGTCACGACAAAAGTTTTTGTATGTACTGGAACAAACCTTATTCAGAGCAGCAATGATTAGGAAATTCATGCTATGTATAGGAAAGACAATAAAATGGTGCACGATGTTGGAGGAATCTCTTTATAGTTTGAAGAATTTTGTTGAAATAAAATGTTCAGACAGCAATTTTTTTCAAAATTTTTTTATCAAACGTGCCATGAAATGAAACAACTGTTCAAAAATATGTACACAAAGTAAATGCCGAATCCTTACGCCGTATCACGTAGTACCGACTCCCGACGCCTGATACGAAATTAGGCCCAAAATGGTTTAATAACGAAGATATTATCTGTCAAAGTGTTTTGACTTGAAACCGCCCTTGAGGCAGCTAAACTTCTTTGGGCTAATAGGCTCAGCCGAATGACATTAAGAATGACACAAGCAGAGTTCCACTATTTTTTATGTCCAAAAAAGGAGGAAAGAAGAAGATTGAATGGCAATATTCCATGAACAGTCGCATACAATAATAAATCTAAACTTACCAATTAGTAGGAGACCTTCATGGTAATTTTTGTCGAAGTAAGCGCCTTTAATACTTTCAGCCATCAAAACATCCGCCATTATCTTCTGGACCGACTTCCCAATAAGCAAATCAAGTACTTTTAGCGAGTTAATAAGCCATAGAAGTCATTCACAGTTCTCTGCGAAAACTTGAAGCAGTTCGTAAGAATTTCCTTGGCCAGCCAAACTGTTTATTTATTTACATCTGATAGCGATACTTGGATGAACGCAAAGAGTTGAGTTGCTAACAAATGGCGGGTTCTGCATGCTTTCCCACTTGCCAATTAATCAAACAAAAGAGGATCCTTAGGTGGCGCTTTGTAAAGCGACCTAGCCCCAAGTGATTCAAACTCATGGAATAGCAGCAAGATATTTGTATAATTTTAGAAAACAAAAGGTTTTTGATGCGTGCAGCCTAAATAGTAGTAAAATTGACGGAAATCAAACGAAAATTTGGAAAGCAAATTTTCTAGGGATGCGAGATTTACATTTATTATCAGTGAAATAAGGAGTTAATTGTCTATTTTGAATTGTCAGTTTGTTTGAAAACTGATTTCAAAAATGTAAAGCATCTTGGTAATTGAAATTGTGCCTGCACCTTCTACACGATAAAAATTTGCCAGCGACCACTGGTACATTGGTTGGTACTTTCCATCTTCCAAATCATTGAAGAAGATATCAACTTTACAAGAACGCGCCATAAAGTGTCTCTAGAACGATCATAAGAGTTCATGTAATGATTTGCTTCTAAGATCGGGTAAGAAAATTGTATAAAAATATTTAAAACACTGTATCATTTGAATCCACTTTTTATGCAGAGCATTTTCGAATTGCACTCTTCAAATTTTTCTTTGAGAAATCCAAACAATTTGGCCCATTTTAGGCCTAATCAAACAACTTTTGGGTCAAAAAGTCTTAAATCAACTGGACCCTAGATTTGGAATGGTTTACCTAGTGAACTAAAATCAGCAGAAATCTGAAAAGTTTCAAGATTTTGATATAAAAATGGGATGGTACCAATTGCAGATGTAGTGCCTGTACTTGTCTGCCAACTTAGAAATTCAACTCAGAACTTAGAACTTGTAAACTCAGAAAATATTTTTTTCTTTTCTTTTTTTTTCTTTTCTTTTATTTTCTTTTCTTTTCTTTTCTTTGCATATTCGATTTTGATTAGTTATCTTGTAAATATTTAAATAATGTATATATTGTTAGCTATTTTTGTCTTTCGAATGAAATGAAGTAACACGCACACGCACCACCGGTAACAACTTTCTCCTTCTCTGATGAGATGGTAATCAACATTCCCTTAAGGGATTGTGTGAGTTGGTTGGGTGTAGAGGCCTTGTCACTGGTGGTAAAATTACGATACTATTTTTGTTGTACCCTGTCCCCAGCTCCCCTCGTTCGTGTCACTAGAATGGCCTGTTTGCCATTCTGCAAAGTTCTGTATTTATTCAGCAAAATTTGCCTGAGATTTCAGAAAAACAATAACTGGCTAAAACAGTTAAAACCTTTCATTTCTAGATTTAATGAACAACATTATAAATAACGAAAATGAATTAATTGAAAACTGAAATAATAAAGGATGAAACAAATCATTTGTTTGACACTCAAATAAATTCTACTTAATAAAAATTTACTAATTGTTTCATTAGCTTTGCAATCTACTAACTAAAGTCTGCTTTAACTTCGGCTCTCTGGTAAAGAAATTGACTTAATGGTGGATGCAGTGTGATCTTCTATATCACTTGATGATATGTAGATCGTACTGGATAGGTTTTCTATGCCATGAAATGATTTGGCCAAGTAACTTAAGTATTTTGAAGACTAGTTTATCAGGATAAATAGCATTACAATGAAAAGAATGTTTTTTTCTGGGTTCGCAAAACTGATTTCTGAAGCTAATTTACAGGAAAAAATCTCTCGAGAGATAAAAATAAAGAGGTTTTGATAAAAAAGCATCTTTTTTAAAAAGATACAGACTTTCAGGGCTACTATGAGTTAGACAAAATCTTTGTTACATCAGCTGAAAAATGTTTTCATTGACGATGATTGGTGTATCTTTAGTCAAAATCTTTTGGAGAAAAAGAGAGCCTTTTCTGTCGCGAAATCAGCTCCTTAAAACTCTAATTACCAGAAAAGCAGCAATAACTGTCAAATTTACAAATCTTTCTACAATTATAATGTACAGCTTAAGTTACATCACAATAACGTGAATATGAATGCATGGTTGAGAACAAAGTATGTTGGTGAAGGGGTGTTTGTTTTAAGGTTTAGAAGGACCTTCTCAACATTACTACTCTGTTGATAAAGAAAACGTTGCCCAAAATTGATCCAAATATCCTTCATAGAGAGTTTAAATCTTATCTTTTGAAGATAAATCTTGATTTATTTCTTGTGGTCAATTTTCATGGAATTTTTTGAGCACTAACTAAGCGCTGGTCATGTAAGAACGACCTATGAATATCACCTGAAAGCGATTGTCATTACAAGAGTTTATTGTCACCATAAGGCCGTCAGCTAAACATTGTTTTATTGAGCAATCACAGTAGTGTTTATACTTGAAGCTTTGTCGTCCATCCTTGTTGCCTTTCTGTTTGAAAGCAATGCGGACACTGACCTTTGTCCCTTTGCCTAATGACCCTATATGTCCTTTCTTTAAAACATAGAAAGTGACACTTGGGATGTCTTTTCCTAGTGGTTATCCGTTTCCTCAACATCGATTTATACCGCGAAGCACATAATCCAACCATCTGAACTTGTAACAACATAGACAGGCAAACTGACATTGGACTTCCGCAATTAGCTGATGACTTCTTTCAAAATTTTGGCAAGCTTTGCTTAATGCCACTCAAAATGCCAGGGTTAGGCACTAACGAAACCTCATTCCATCAATGTCATGTAGGTCGAGGTAAGCTTGACTCCACAGTTAGCTTATCTATATATTGAATTTAGTAATAGTCGCTCTCGGGATCAGATAAGCTAGAATCGTGATTTGAATCAGTAAGACCATGTGTGTCACCTACAAAAGCAAAAGATAAAATGTCTACAATCAATAACGCTTGATTAATATAGATGAAAGTTCTCCTGATGTAGATGTTGAAACAGAAGTTCACCTACAAAGTACGATTAAAATAAAGAAATCATTCCAGCTGACAGGATATGTGTTTAAGGAAAAAGTTGATTGCTCGATGACCTCGTTTTATATCAACATTCTGTCGTTTTAAAAAAGAATCTTCTTAATAGTCTAAATAGAAGGTATTACGTCAAAATAGGAGTAAATCATAGTTCATATATTTGTTATTACGTAGGTGAAATTCACTGGATGGAAAATTACTAGTAAAGGGTCCGGTGCAAAACCTGAAGAAAAAGGTTGACCAGGAAAATTAATGACGTGATAGGGCATTCATTGTCACGAACTTTGATGAAAAATGCGAACTATAGTTTCTCAGAAAAATACATTTGGAATTCGTCTACAGTCATTTGAAATCGCCTTACATTGACTAGAAAGCTATTCTGTCGACTACGTTACACTTAAATATTATTTTGTCACTTTTCGCAGGACCATCACGTACATACAATCCCTTGTTTACACCACACATTGATAAAGCATTTAACATAGGTATATTTACCTGAACCAAGTGTGGAAGACTGGTGGTCAGGAGGCGGTACCAAATGAAATGGAATCTCCGGAGGCATTCTTTCGCTACTTCTTGAACGGCATTCGGTTTGTGGAGTAACCTGAACTTGTACATGTGAGTTGTCGGATGTTTCGAGTGTCGTTTGGTCACCAGGGGCTTGTTGACGTATCACCTTACCGTTTGTGGAGACTACAACAATATCACCATCAACCATCCGTAGAGTCGGCCTTGGCCCACTGGAATAGAAATGCTCTACGGATCTTGCTTTCGCTGTTTTCCGAGGCAGGCAAGTTTTCATACTATACAGTGAGTATCTACGGTTGAAAGATATCATAATTATTCAAGTGAAAAAGCCAAGGTCATCTTTTTTTAATTTAAATAAGTTAAAGCTAAAATTGAGAAACCACACGTGTAGAATTCGGCGGATATTGCATACCCAGATAGGGAGCATACTTGGCTGGATGTCATATTAGTAATAGAGCATTCCCTGGCCTCAAGCGACCAGTGATTCGTTACTAAATCTTGAAAACTGCTCGACGTGTATGATACGAGGTTAATTGGATTTTCCTTTTCGGATTTGCCAGTTCGCCTAAACGTCTTATAAAAACTGTGAAAGGTTTGGCATATGTGATTGATATTGCTTGTGAAACGCGTTGTATTACGTTCTGAAAGTCAATTTTGAAGTTATTACGATAGAAGCCAATACAACAGCAATATCAACTTTGCTCTTGATATCAGCGTAATCATTTCTTATCAGCTACTGATAAACCAGATAATTGAAAACTTATCCCAAAAAGACCTGGTCAAAGATAACATTAGACAATCTAATCGAAAGCTCCAATAGAAAATGTGGACCCTGTAGCCTTACAGAACGATTGATTGTATTAATGGGACCCAATAAAAGTTTTGAAAATCAATTCCTTGAGGAAAACGAATGAGTCATCTTAGATCTAAGCGTACAGCACTGAGGTTTGCTAAAGTTTTCATCCTCAGCTTCCCAACCACCTGACTTGAGAAAAAATCACACGTGCCTGGAAGAAATATTAAAAGATGCCTTAAAAAAGTCGATGCGTTTCTAAATTAAGAGATATCTTTCAACAAACAAGATGAGTCATACCCAGTGCTATCTCGTCTACATATCACAGCAACCAGGATGATGTTGGCGACGATCAAAACAAAAAGCAAACAGCCAAATGCAATCACAATATTCCTGTTTGTTGTGCTTGATCTTGCAGCTGAAGAGGATGCAATAAAACTGTTATTCTAACAGAATTTGCAATGCAAAGCAAAGCACCTGGCATGGCTTTATATATGTCAATAAAAAATTACGGCACTTATTCTAAAAAGAAGTTAAAATCTACTTCATCCCATCACGAATATCTATCTACCAACACAGTTGATAAAAGAAGAGTAGCCCCACGTGGTGTGTATTTCCGGCAAAATCCACCGGAGATCTACACTTTTTATGCTTCCATTACTAATTTATCAGTTAGCAAAACATTTATACAAATAATTTCTTCGCTTCAGTTATAAGAACAGCTTTTATGGGGACTAGGGCCAGTAGCTCTGCTGACTTCAAAATGTTTTGTATTGATAATACTTAGCCTCTGGAAAAATGTGAATTCTTATATCAAAACTAGCAAATTAGATTCAGCAAATTTAGATATAGCTCTTTTGGAACAACTGGCGAAACGATAATTCGGGGTCTGTATTAGCTAGAGAAAATTACAATGCACAAATAATACACAGAAATATTATCTCTCACTATCCTACAAAATCAGGTTTAGGCAATCTGTCTATCGATGGATATGGGTTAACATGACGGTTTCCTAAAATCGTGCAATGAAATTTTTGCGATTAGAGAAGTCTTTGAATGAAAATCTGTGATTGTTTTGGGTGGATATTCAACTCAAAATATTACGATAAATTTGTGCAAATTGTACTCATTTTAGCATCAACAATATTAATCTCTAATGACACTTAAATCTATTTCCTCCTTTCTGAAATCGGATTATGAAAAGACGATTAATCTGGCGTAGAAGCGCGGCTCGTACAGTCATAGAAGGGAAGATATTTGAAAACCCGACGTAGAAAGTTTTACGGGTTAGAGGAATGCGGCGCTAAAGTAAGGTGATAATGAATTTTCTGTGAAATATTAAGCTTGACTAACGCGGAAAACATTGAAAACGCCTGTCGTCCAATAACAAGAGCAAATCGATTGGTACTTTTCTATTGACGTTCTTTAAATATAATTTTATTGAAATAAAAGGAAACTTCTATATATAGGATAGCTACGAAGTGTGACCATAAAGAAGAAAAGTTTCAGCATGATAAGCTCTTTCTTTTGCGTGACGGTGTCCACAATTTTATACAATTAAGGAGCTCCCCGATAATAGAAGCTTCAGCGATGCTATTTGAAAACAGCTTGGCGTGACATTGGTAAAATAAAATGACGTATTTCGAAAAATCCTTTTCTGCTCGAAGAGAAACACGAGGTCTTACGCGAATGGAAGAAAAACGTATGACCACTCTCGACGTGTGTTTTTCAATAGACGCTTGTCTGCAATTGGAGATTATCGAATGTAAAATCGAAAGCTTAAAGGAAAAGATCATTTCTGTGAACAAAAAAGTGGTTTTGAATCTGGTGCCAGACAAACTGACCCGATTAGGTTACTTGTGTAGCAAACTATCAAGAGTTTCTCTTTCTTAACACAAATCCTTATAAATTTTAATGCAAAATTAGACAGTTCCACTTTAAAATCAGCGTTCTTTGAGATATTCTAATAATGGCTGATGAACAAAAAGATCAAAAGAGGGCGAGGGAAGCCACGTTTCTAGGTCATTTCGGGGATGAAGAACAGTTTTAAAATATCCAATTACTACAATTGCGGCGTAAGGCACCTTCAAGCGCTCGTTCTGTAGCCGCGCCGTTTCCTAATCATTAAAGAGAAATCAAGATAAAATAGGTTTTGAGATTCCTACAAGGCTTTTGAGGATGTCAAATTGCCTCAAATATAAAAATGATGGCTTGAACATCCAGCTTTTGAATGGCGACATCATTTAAGTATACTTTTAAAAAAATCAATGCCCACTTTCAGAGTCGTTTACAGGTATTAGTTTCTGCAGAGTATTGCAGTCCCATTTCTTTGATCAAATCTGAAATTTCCCTGAACCTGTCCTAGTCCCCATTGTAAAGGGAATGTCACCCGCTATCGCCACCGCTACGGCTTTTTATGTAGAAAAACAGCCTGTAAGCCCCAACAAGTGACAAACTGATAGAAGATTGCATGGCCTGGTGCATGCGTGCTTGTTTCGAAGCATATTTGCAACCGAACCACACCCTCTGCGGGGCATGCCAGAACGTATTATCAAACACATGTATTCAAAATGATATCTGGTTACTATAAAACAACCTGGCTGCTAAGAAGTCTATAAATGCTTTGGCAAAACCGATTTTGTACTTGCTTATTCTTTCATCAAATATTTGACGTTCCCTAAATTCTTTACACTCCTGTATTTACAATCAAATAATATGACGACAGTTGATATTTTTATTAAACATATAGCAACATGCAACAACTTAACTGTAAAGATGCTACTATGGGCAGTTATTTGCAGGCAGGATATTTCAGCACAATACGTATTACCAAACAACAATATTTAGTAAAGGTGGATGTTTGGAAATATTATTGCATATACAAGGATAAATAAAACTTCTTTTCACCAACCTTTGTTGTTGTATTCTGCTGAATTGCTGCAGCCACTACCATTTCTTGGAACAGCATTTCGAGAAGACGATGAGAGGGTTTTCCCGCCATTCAAGGACGGTGTAGGCCGAACACCTCCATTGATTTTGTATCTGGTTACAGTTTTGAACACTGTCTTCTGATTATCGCACTTGCACTTTGTCGCCGGAAGGCCTGTTATGACGTTTGTAGGCAACACTTTGGGGCATGGCATAGTTGATTTGGTCACCGTCACGGTAGTGCATGTCTTGGTTGAGGCAGTTGGTGATATGCTTGGCACTGAAAAGTTAGAAACAGGCTTTGCTTAGCTAAAACTACATCAAATAAATCATACTTCAAAGTTTGAACGTGGCTCAAAATAGCGGAAATATAGCAAATTAGAGTACTTTGTACTTTCCAACTATGCTTAAACTAAATCGTTAAAAAAATAATCAAAGGGAAGCGAATTATCTCATAGCTGAGCCCGAGTTCAGAAAAAACCAAATATTTAACGAAAAATATTTATTGAATTTAAACTGGATTGAATTTGAATTTTTGACTATGTTCAACGTAATTAGAGAATAAGAAATTCTATGGATTGGTAAATTAGCACTATAGCAAACGTATCCAAAAATCAGGCATTTTTCAAATACATTTTGTATATAACAACATTTATGCCAGGCAAACACTAAACCTAATAAAAAGAACACTAAATCATGTCTGAAGACGACTCAAGACGTTAATTAAAATAGAACTTTGTGAAACTCACAATCTTTGTTTAATGGATTCCCGTCCTTATCAGTTGCCTTCCAGGTAATCAGAAATCCTTTATCGACATTGCCAAGTCTATCCGATACGAAGTAAATGTGTAGATAGTTTTGCTGTGATAAATAGTCCGGTACTGGCATGGCTCCACAATATTTGGATGACAGCGTACCCCATCCGTTCCTAGTTTCTTTGATGAGCAGGTAATCGTAAAGACACTTCTTGTTTCTTTCCACTTGAAAGTGAGTGAAGTTTAGCAGAATTCGAGTACCGGGCGCGGTATTTATGGTCCACCGGCAACTCATGTTCACCGGATAATTCGCCGGGTAATTTGGACTTGAGAATTGGCCATTATCTCCAGATAACTGAAACTGCAGATCTAGAAAAGCAAAACAGATATTACTAACATCATAACGAATTTATTTGCAAAAGAAATACCATTGTTAAAACCAAAAGCAAGAGTAATGTCGAAGTTGAAAGTGACTTGAATTGCCCCGTTTCGGTTGCCCTTGGAGAAACGAGAGCGGCACAAGGGCAAAGAATGACAACAATGACGACAACATTGTTTAAACGGCCGTCGATTAGAGAAACATAGCCCCATTTTGGAATTTTCCGAGCAAGAGGACAGCATTGAAGGCGCTAACAGTATAGTATGCTAACAGCATGTGCATTTTACATCAAGTATTGCTCTTTTATAACGGGCCAGCGCTGTTATCATTGATGGTATATAGCGACCTTTGATGTTTTTGGTAAGGGCGCATTCCTAGCCCTCGTTTAAAACTCGTGATTTGAGCGGCCTGGAGTAAAGAAACTTCGGCTTGACGTTTAAATGGCGAAAAAAATTTCAATTTTTATAAAAATAGCTGAAAGAATAGATAGATAGCCATCCCATTAAACAAATTGCACAGACGCTTCTATCGCCTTCACGAGCGTAAACTGTTTCACCAATGACCACGACTGCTTGGGAAGGGCGCAAATACGCTGAAAGAGTGACATGAACTTAAAAAGCTCAGTAGATATTGTTATTTCCTTTTCAATGCAATAAAAAACTTTATTCATGCTAAGGTAAATAAAAAGAATCACAATTACTTATAAAGAATTGAAAGAAATTGTGAAATGCAATTGGAAGGCGGACGCGGCTGATCAAATTCTGATAGCAATCGCTGCCAAAATAGACACAAGCATTAAAACTTTTCAAAGGCGCTTTTGCTTCGAAAAGTTAATGTTTACTGCTATGACAAGGCAGATTTTCTCTTTTATATACTAGAACTATATACAACAGTTATAAGCACGGATTAACGAGACGAAAAGTCAACCAAGATTACCAATCACACACAAACGACTGCAAACAATAAAAAACACGATGCCTTTAGTCGATGCAAAATGCAGATGTAGAAATTCGATTTGATATTGAGAAAACAATCGGAATTTAAAGTTCAGATAATGAAATTCTCAATTCAAGTCAGTTGTAGGCACATTTGTCAGCCTGGTTATGACGAGAATTCTGAATGCTCTAAGCTTGAAGCAACACTGGCGAGTTGGTGACAAGAGTAGCATTTTCATAATAAGCAACAATTATCGGAAGTTTGTTTATAAGATGTTTATTCATTATCTTTATCATTTATTCTTGGTTTTCTTTTGCCATAATTTTGTTTATCTTCATCATCAACTCTCCAACTTTGAATATCACTTACAGAAAAGCAAGGAGCAATCTTGGATCTTGGCACACGACTGCTATGTACAAAAATGGAAATTTCAAACTGTATTTAAACAATTTAAACAGAAAGAAACGATAACGAGTTCCTCAAGATAGGCTGCCAATTTTCATTACTGGGGTTGATTTTTAGCAGGTTTAGGTCGGTCAGGCTTTCGAAATATTAGAATTGATTGAGACTGCTATAAAGCCTTATTGTGTTCGGCGATTAGATTTTCTGAGCGGTTTTGACTGGCGAAGACTCTCCGAACAGTGCAATTAGCTCTACACAAATGTTGTGTACACAAAGAAAAGAAAATGATTGACTATGTTCAGTATTGACAGAAACATATGCTTTTGAAAAGACACTTTCTTCATACTCTCACAACACAGACAGATGAAAACTATTACAACTAACGGACAGCGCTTCTTTAACAGGGATAATCTTGTTTTCCTCTAAATAATAGAAAACACGAGGCCTGAATTCATCTCTAATATTCCAAGACTTTGGAAGAAATTAGCTGAGTTTTAGAATGACAGTTCTCTGCTCTAACAAAGTGAGCATTTGAATATATAACGACCTTGTGCGAGCAACATGCCATTTGGATTAAAATGGAGGCTCTTTTGCCAAATAGATTTTACTTGTCTTGGTAAAAACATAGCAGTGCAGTGTAGTGAATAAACGTTTCTAGGGGGCACAGACTTTAAGGTTAATTCTTTGTTCTCTTGAACAGAACAAGGCCAATAGGGCTGTTTGAATATAAATTTTTCGAAACCTTTTCAACATGTTTCAACTTTCAAACATGTTGTAACTTATGATCTCCCAGACGAAAAAAGTTTTAAAATGTACCATTTTGAAAAGAGAAACAAAATTTGCTTCTTGGCTACAAATAGATAGGATTTTTTAACTCGACACCACACAACCCCTCCCCTCTCAACGTAATACACAATGCAGAGTGCTGTCGCGAAACGTCTCATGTGTCAAAAGGTAGAGAGATTGCTCCGAAAACATTTTGCATGCAGTTATTGCGAAGAAAGGAACCTAAAGTATGAAAACATTATACCACAATTAGTACCATGTACATTACTAATTCTATCACTCGGCACGAAAAATGATTCATGCCTAAAAGTATTTAAATCATAAAATGTTGTCAGATCTTAGCTTCCTGTCATGTTTCCCCTTCTTTGAAAAGCCCGCGAAACGAACTCAATCTGCTATTCAAGGAAAACAATGTCAATCTCGAGCTAGGTTTATCGGCAAGCAAGTCTTTTCAAATTTATGGTTAGTTAGCCTCCGTTGTATAGTGATAACACATATCTTGAAAAATTCATCAATGGGTCCTCTTAGCTACATTTGTCAAAGGATTTCCTTTAAAAATCTAATTGAAACATTACCATAATTTTACCAAACCTAAAACGTCCGTTAACTACAAAATCTAGGGATATACAATAACATGTCATAAGAAAAACTGGGTCGCTTAAAAAGATAAATCAAGTATAAAAAAGCCTCAGTGGATCATACAAATAGCGAAAAACTAGAAGAACATTAATGGCTATATTTAGTATTATCACCAATTTACTGTTTTACTAAAGAATTAAAATTAAGGCTCTTAAATTTTCCTGTGCTTGCGTTTTTCTGATTGGCCTATTTCGATCCACAACTGGGTATATGTTTTTATCGTGTTCTTTCGGACCCTTATTCTGACGTTTTATGCTCTGAGAAGTGTCAGACGAAAAACTTTTAGCCAAAATGTTATAGAATGTTTGCTTTTTTTCAAAGCCATGCTCTTAAATTGGATTGATATATCAACGTTTCACATACCCAAGACCCAGCATAGCTAAAAATGTATCGAGCCATAAAACTTGTTACGAAATTGCTGAAAAGGGAAAGGACACCGAGAATAAGGGACTTTCTTAGGCACTTTCGAATGTAGGAATGAAAAGGATCTCTTCAAGGCTTTCCTAGACATTTCCAGGACATGAATGATTATCGAACAGTTCTACCAGCCTAAGCATGTTTATCATTTCTATGCTAGTTCAGGTCACTCGGGGTTGAATGTTTTATCAACCAATTTGTCTGTGGATGCCATAATCCCTTGTTTCAAACAAAAGGAATCAACAATAACAACGAAAGTCGACGAAAAGCAGCTTTACGTGCCAAGATGGTTTTGAAAGAGCACGATCTAGCACGAGGAAAACAAAATTAGATAAAAAGAAGGGAGATTTAGTCTTGAAAAATCGCAGAGAAAAGCTCAGAAAATGAAACAAGTAATGGGGAAGGACAAAGGATGGGATATTGAGCGCGTGACTAAAAAACTGCCTGTATTTTGCTCAACAGAACGATCATAAAAGTGCTGATTTTATTTGCTTGAATGAAAGAGTTAGGGTAAGGCAATCATCTTGATAAAATCAATAGCTATGCGCGAGGAATACTGAGCTGTCGATGAGCACTTCATCCACAATCGGAATAAAGTACTCGGCAATACAGAAATAACGGTTACAAGGAGCTATTAGTGCTGATATAGTGTAAGTAGACAGCATGGCTTAATTACTCTTATCAGTTGAAAGCGGAGACGATCATGCAGTATATAGAATACTTACGCAATAGGCCATTCACCAATAGAATATGCTGCGCGGCCACCAAGACTCGAGGGAAGAACATTGTCAACACAACAGCCATGAATAAGCGCTATAAACTGCAGTTGCAACCGCGTTGATAGTTGACGCAATTTACGTCCGCAGCTATCGCCTCCTCGCTGCTTTTATGCCAATTCCTATTCTACGGCAAATTATTATAGCACCTTAATTAATCCTCAGATCCGTGCGGGCTCAGCGACATCTGCTTATGATAACCAAGCCGGTACAGAGTTTTAAAAGGAAACAAACCCGCGAAAGTATACCATGAACTTTGCGAAGAAATTAAACCCGAATTAAACATCAATTGTCACCACGATTGGCAAATTCCACCATTTCTCGTTCTACCAGTCTACAAGATGTGAAGAGCGAAATTTTAACGTCACCCGTATTGGCTTCATCAGCGATTTATTGGCAACGGATGGATTAAGAATGAGCGGACTTTGAAAACACCTGTTTCATTAGACACAACTGCAGCATTATTAGCAATAGATACTGTGTAAAGGGAATTTTATTGGAAGATGAAAGGGTTACCCTGTTTGGGAGGCAAACACTGCAGGTTATGGCATCTTAGAACTAAAATGGGCGCTGCTAGAAAACAAGTCATGATTCCTTCTATCTTTGAAATCATTCTCGACAGCATATTACGTTTTATTTTTTAATCAAGCTGTTTTTAAGGGCAATCAATAATGAACCTTCAACTCGAAAAAAATATGGTAACGAATCTTCGCATTGTAAAGAATTGATAGCTTGACGAATTACTAACCAATTTCCTGTTAATCAAAACTACTTTCAGTGTACAGGATTTGTTTGCGAAAGGAGTTTAAAACAAGTGTCTTGTCACTCCCTCTCTTTTCCCTTCAGACTGTCTATGGTAGAGCCTAAATTTCATTGAGAAAACTTCTCACCCTGTATGAAATTGCATATTCTTGCCAATGATTGCGTTCTCCTTTTGAGAAAGAATCCAAGACGAAAGCAAACGAGGTTAGAAGAAGTGCGCAATGACAATTGTCCATGTTGTTTTCCTTTTGAGTTTATTAAGTGCACTAGTCTTAAAAGAAAACGCTATTCTGAGCTAATATAGAAGAGAAGCAATTTAGCAAATATTGGTCTTTGGTCAAACACATAGTATGCAAATATATGCTCGCACAAACTGTTTCAAACGGTTAACGCTAGCTCGAAAGATCGCAAAGGAATGGTCGATCAGATTGTCGTGATAATGATGTTGATATTCGTTGTCTCAAATTTCTCTGCTTGGCGCAAACAGCGTTGGACTGTTTGCCATCAATTACTGATGAAATCAACCAAAAAAGCCAAAAACCTGATTTCAACATCTAACAACAAATCATTTTGGCAAAATGGTTTGTAAAATATTTGATGACTTAGAAATATTACTTCTTCAGCTTTTGGCTGTACTAGATTTTATCACTGGCAGCCAAACCATCTGCCTTTAACGACAGTTTCATACAGATGTTTTTAATCCCATGGACGACTTGGGATTTAAAGGTGTGGGGGTACTCTTCTTACTAAAAGTTGAGCGTACAAAGAAAACAATGCATGCTTGTTTGCTACATAGTCTTTTATCAGACCAAGAATCAAAATCATAGTTAGGTTACAGATGGCGAAAGAGTTTAAATAAACATAAAGCGATATTTTGTAAATGCTGTTTTCTCCTTCGCCGAGAATGTATTTAATGTACTGGCAACTTGACTTTCGTTAAAGCTGTATTATTTCTGAAATCAAATGCTTCCGAAATTTCTGTAAAAAATGCTTGATAAGCATGCTGATTTTAATAATTTCTGACCTTGTAATCCTCATAGCGATAAACAGATAGTGTCTTTTTAACGGGATACGGCTGATACAAAGCAAGGTATTTTTGCCGACCATTAATTCAGTAATAAAATTATCAATGCAACAGAAGTGCTGTCGAAATCTTCAATTAGGACCCAGCCTTTGCCCATTGGAACGGAATGGTCATCATAGCCCTTGCTCAAGCTCCAAATTCTTTTTAGAAGAACACGATTTACCAGAACACCAAGGCTCAATTTTCCAAAACAAGAACAGGGTTAGAACATTTGCAGCCTCGAGGGGCAATTCACTCTTGAAAATAGCGTACGAGATTTTGCCTAAAACAAAAAGATTTCCGGGGATTTTCAGATGAGACAATAGGATTTTCACAAAAGGTGTAGGAGATTTTCTTGGAGTGATTTGCCCCTCGTACAGCCTCACATTCAAACATTAGGAGAATAAACAACATGTTTTGACAATTTCTTTGGTGTTAACAAAACAGAGCAGATTTTAATGAACTGCGCTACTAAAATTGTCATACAAAATGTTTATTCAATAGTCTTAGAAAAAACGTTCTCGTGTACTGTTGTAAAAAAGGCCCTTGTAACAGAAACAACGGGCCCCAGCAACAATTAAATCGCTTTTTAAAACAGAGTGTTGGCCATAAACCAATTTGTATTCTAACAAAACATCGTGCAAAAAACATTTATCTAAATTTTTGCCGGTTGTGACTTAAATGTAACATGGATAAAGCTTCCGAATTGTAGCTTATCTTTGTATACTGGTGATCAATTAAGAAGCGCACACGTGTTGGGAATGTTTCTTTCACAAATATCAAACAAGCTCAAAATACAACCTGCTGTAGGACTAACCAGAGTCACGAGGCACAGTATAGTGCTTTCGTATAGGCACTTTTCCAATGCTCTTTTTCGATAAGAAAACGGTTCTTCAAGGAACAATACACTCAGTTCAGCAACATGTGTAAACCAAACAAATTCAAGCAAATGCAATAGAATTTAATAATTGGCAAGCTGGTTGATAATTGACAAAGAAGCATAACAATGCTGTGGAGCTTTTCAGAACTACAATCTGAGGCCTTATTGCCAAATTTGTAATGGAAACGCTTTACAATAGAAGCTTTTAGAAATATTTTCCAGCGAACAATTAACAACCAGGTTAGAAAATTACATCGAAAAAACGATTCCGGTCTGATTAAACAGAAATTGAAAGCGCTAATGTCAACTTGCTGCTAAAGATATTTTCCTACAGGATACGGTATGTCTCGTTGGGCAGCGTTTTGTTACGGTCCCTTTTCGTGCACGGAGACGTTTGAAGTTAGTTTGCTAAAGAAATCGTCGGATAGTTGTCAATGAAAAAGCTTTTGTTGAAGAACTCAACAAGCAGTCGCTCCAAGACTGAGTAAATAGCTAAACAAAGTCCAGCACAACATAAACAAAGATACGTGTGTTATTGTGCTAATCTCTTTCTGGTGCTCTTCCGACAATACGAAACTCAGGATGGGCTCAGCACACCGTTGTCTAAGCTTTATTTACAGACTCGCGAAAAAGAGGCAAGGGATTTTCAAGTCACGAACGGTTAAGCAAAATAAACTAAAAAAACTGACTAGTCAAATCTAGAAATGCGACAGATGCGCTGAAAGTCATAGACCTTTCAGAGAGTTGACCCCCCTATCTCCACTGCATGTTCATACACAAAGTCTAACTTCAAATTCTAGCAACTCCTTTCATTTTCTATTTGGACAATCAACTCCATGCCATGACAGAATTTTGACTGTATAGCAAATAACATAACATGCTTCAGTTTCAGTTACGACTTGAACTATTTTAATCAAAGGATACTTTGAATATTTCTGAGATGAGATTGATATTGTATTGTCTTTATGTAGTTATAAGACTTTAATCCAAATTAGAGATTAAATTCAACGTTTTCCGATTGTCCTGGGTCAGCCATAGAAATAATACTGTCTGCATAACGCGGTTGCTAGAAATAACTGCGTTACTGTTAAGCAAAATATCGAGCAAAGGTTTATAAAATATCCCCATCAAAATGCAATTTTAGGAAAACGGGAAACATCATGCTGCAAATCTTTTTGAATGTTTTTTCAAACAAAGCCACTGCCAAACTATGATTTTGCGTCACTGAATATAACACACTTCGTGGTAAAGGCGACAAACTACATAAATGATCTTAGGATACAAGGCTTCCGCTTTCGGGTGTGAAAATTGTCACCATGTGGTAGGGGAAAAATTCTTAGAATTGACAATATCATAAACATTAAGTCGATTCCTGCCTCAGAAGTCGAGTTTTCCGACAGATAAAAATTTCAAATATATTTTATCACAAATATACAAGAATTTTAGAATGTAATTTGGCTAGAAAAAACTCTACAAAAGTAGCTACAGCTTTGCTAAGCAAGGGTGCATGATACTCCATGTGGAGAAAGGAGATCGATCGATGCCAAGTTTGTAACCCAAGTTTTGTTGTCGTCAAACAAACCTAACATGGGCTTTCTATCTTTAATAACAATAACAAAAACTTATAAAACATAAGTTGTAGTAAAGAGGAGAGAAACGAGAAACAGATGAATCGAATAAGAAATTTTGGTCTCCGTTACGTTACGAAGATTGTTGTAAAACTGACTTACTTGTAGCAGAAGATGTGATGAAGAATGTCAGGAGCAAAGCGAACTTGAACAATCTCATTCTTGGCGTGGAATCTGGGCCAGTTGAAGAGTTTAGCCAGATGATACTTCAATGTGACTTGCAGTGAACTGTTAGTTCAAAATCAACCTCTTTTAGTGACCTTGGCAATGTTTATCACGTCAGCGAATCTCAATTTTATCTCTGTAATGAGGAAGAAAAGCAAATAACTGTGAACACCGCAATCAAAATGAATTACAACTGAATGCTATCTTAACTCAGAGCGGACGACGGCTTGCAGCCTTAATGTCCAGTTGCCGGTTGATTAACGAGGCAAGACGTTGGCCGCACTCCAAAGGAGGCCGCAAACCTTACGCGACAGATAAAGTTTGAAATCTACAATCATTGCCAAAAGTACTTGGAACACCAAGCAAATTGCGGCGTTGTGTGTTTTTTTAATAATTATATTTTTTAATAATGTTTTAATAATCCAGGCACCACGGAGAAGGGGGGCTGGGGGCTATAGTCCCCTACTTTTTGCCAGAAATGCAAAAAATTTGCTAATGAATCACCAGAAAAGCCACTTTTTATTCGGTTTAACCCCCCCCCCCACACACACACACACACACACTTTCTGAACGCTTCGCGGTGCCTGGCCTGATGTCCGTAGTCGCTTGAGAAAATCCGAGTAGAGAAGGACTGAGGCCCGGCTATTTGATCAACAGTGTTTACAAACAGGATCCATATTCAAGCATCTTCTAAGGCTGAGTAATGCTTATATTACAGTGCATAATTTAAACTTGGATTAAAGCAGCATTCAATGGGAAGTTATTTAACAATCAACTAATAACATACACATCATTCGAAAGGACATAAACACGAGTATTGTATGATACAGAATTTATTCTACGCCTTTAACAGAAAGCGAACATTAGATTCTAGGCATATGCTTGTGAAGCAACATAAAGAGAGATATTCGTTTCTAAAAACAATCAATACAAAGACACCTAGAAAGGCCGCAGGTCCTGGGAAAACGGGACAAGAAGTTAAACTAGTTGGTGGACTTAGAGCGAGAATGTTGTAGGGGCGTTTGTGGCACCAGAATGTCACTTTCGTCCAACTGACCATTGACCCTTGCCTAGTGACTTGACTTGCAGAATTCTGTAAGTAAACCGGAAATGGGCTTCTGTTCCTCATTAAAAAACCAAATATTAAAAGGCGTTTACTAGACTTCATTGCAACCCAAGACCAATACAATCGGACCATCTTCACTCGTCCAAGATCAATTCCTTTCGCTACGTAATTGCCAAGAAAAGAACTTCCTTTGTGTACCATGCTTTTCAAAGGCGATCAGCCTCGTCACTTACATTAACCCCATTTCAACACTGATTTATCGGTTATAAATAGTGGGCAATAATTCGTGGTTTTCATTATTCAGAGATTTTCTAAGGTATTCATAAATGGTGAGAACGTGCAGCAAGCTTATATAGTTCTGATAGTTTTCGTCTATTTGACTAGCAAACCGCAATTAGTGTAAGCAATAAAAAACCAGCAATGTTAATTTGAACAAGCAAGACCCTCAATGCAGTAAGAAAAATGCAAAAATAGTGTGTTGAAATTCGCGCCTTTTGTTTCTCAGGTTAATGAGCGTTCAAGATTTGTGGTGGATTATAAAATAGGTGGTTCTGATTTATGATGATCATAGAGAAAGGCAATACAGTGTGCCGCCATTGCAGCTGGAAATCTTTTCTTTTCTTGTTAAAAACATAAGGCGAAACTTGAGTACACAGCAAAAAATATTGACCAAGCGAGCAGCAAAAGTCATTATCAAATATTGCATATATCAGAAATCTAACAAACGTGTTTCTGTATACATATATACATATAAACATACATATATATGAGTTCGATTCCGACCAAGAGTGGTTCGATACAATTTGAGAGCACCCTTGTGGAAAGATTTTCCTCATGTCAGCCTTTGCCTTATGATAAGGATGGTCATCCTTATATATAAATATTTATAAATGAAAAGGATGGTTATCCATAATTTTTGTTGCAAAGAAAGGAATGCACGATTGTAGCTACGGTTGAAATGTTAAAATCTTTACATTTATATAGCGTTGTTCAAATATAAAACGCAACCAACAGTTCTGCAAGTATAGTTTGAGGCATGAGCCAAGTTTTTAAGCAATCATAGAGTTTCTTCTTCATTCGCGTTGAAATTTGATTAGGCTTGAGAAGAAGTTAGGGATGAAGATCCATTAAAATTATATTGGCACTTAATCTTTAAACACTCTTCTGTTTGCAGCTTTTTAAATTCTCTAGTTAGCTATTCTCTTTAAATTCTTGGATATTAATACCTTAAATTAAAAAATTCTTTTATAGGAAAACTATGGAAAATCCTATAACAAAATTCATTCCACACAAAGCAAGGTGTTCATCCAGCATTTTACAGCTTTGTTAAGTTCTCAAATTAAAACTTATTATTGGGCGATTTATTAGATATATTCTATAGTATTCTATTTTGAAAGATAGAGGCAAGGCCCTGTGTGGTCACAGTGAAAAATCACCACTAACTTAGTGAAGTCCTAACAACTTAAGGCAAACTAATCCAATTTCTAAAAAGAAGTGAATATTCTGTACTTATATTGGATAAAAACACACCGATATAATATTAACATAGAAACGCTTTTAAAATTACATACCATGCAAGATGATCCGCGAAATCGAATAACCGATTCATAGATCTTTTACTATTAGAGAGGAGAGCCTACAAGCCAGTTTCAAAAAGCAGATTTGATTCAAATAGTTTCAAAGATATCTTTTATAAACAAAGATACGAGGCAACGACGCCAGAAAAATGTGGAAACCAGTCCAAAGACAAATGGAGATGACATGGTTTGATTAATCAATTGATGTATTTAAAGCAGGGTCCGATTGCGTGTTTTTCGACCGGTAGTCAAATTCATTGACATCAAAGAATAATTGTTTCTATTGAAGAAGCATACTTGCCGTTTCGGAGCCTGGACTCGTTTTGAAAACAGAGAGATAGTCCTGTCGGATTATGTAGATATGCATACATCAAAATTACAAACGAGGAGGTTCTTCAAGGTGGTGAGTTGGAGACCTTGCTGTTGAAAGTACTTGTAAGAAGTAGAACCGACAAACATATCACATGAATGTTAAGTTGGATGTTAATTTGTAAACATCTTTAGTTCAGGGACGGTGCAGAGCCGTAGGCACAACTATCCTCTACACAAATTTATTAATTCATGAAGAGGCCTAAACAATTAGAAATCGTCATATACTCCGTGCCGCGTGGCAGATACCAATCATCTAAACAAAAATGCCTCTAGAGGATAACCAGACAGCAGGAGCCTTATGATAACATCTTCATTTTGCCAAACAAAAGGAGCAAATGTGCGGTGGGGATTGATAACGCGAATATAGCATGACGGTGGTATGCTGATGAATCAGTGGAAGAAAGACATGCAACGCAAAAATATCAATTTCGCGTTTATTTTTAGCGAAATTCTACAAGACTCGAAATATCTTCCTTCTATCAAATTAGGTCTGAGAAATAATTTGACGTCAAAGCTGTTGCATATAGATGACTATTGATGTTATCTATCAATGTAATGCGAGCATTTGACAGTGGTAATTCATCAAAAGACAAATCCAAAAGAATATACATCAAGATCTAATATGCAGAAACAAGCAATACGACGACCGGTTTCTGTAATTATTCAAACTTTATCTAACATGCTCATTCATCACTGTCACATTTTTCAATACAACACAGCTTGTCACACCTTTTCCTCAGTAATCATCTGCACTGGCTCCTGTTTTGCAGGTTGCAAATTTTTAAAACAGAAGTCTGTTTTCACAGGTTTGTTGGGTCTTCGAAACATTTTTATAAAAGAATCAATCGAGACAGGCAACATTGACAGTTTAAAAAAACTTGGTACAATACTTTCGGATTTGAATTAAATTTGCATGGAAGTTTTGTGAACTGCAGCTTGCAATTTTCAAGTAGATCAGCGGTGTAGTGCTGAAGGTGGGGCTGCGGGTCTGAGCCCCCTTTCCTAGTGGTAAAAGGCATGCAATTTGTACTTTTTGCAAAGGCAATGAGATAATTTTTACGAGAGTCGACATTCTCTTAATAATAACTGTGTATCTTTGAAATCGATGAGAGATTGAATATTTGATGTGTTAATCGATGGGATCATCCGATCTCTGAACACACAGCTCGCGTTACCTAAGAAATAGTTACGTGTAATGTACGAGAGTGGCGACCGTTGATCGGATCCCATTTGCAAGTCAATTACACAGAACTAGAATACAGCGCGTAATGATGAATAGCAAAGCGCAACTGATGCTATCGCCCTTGTTAATCACCTGGCCAATAGACACATCACGTGTTTAGAAGAGAAAAGATCCATTCAAGGGTAGCTTGAATAGCTGATAAAAGGTCTCAGCGAAGACTTCTTGGAAAGCAGCTGCTCATGTTCCTATTCAAAAAGAGTGCCTAGAGTTATCACCTTGGAGGCGTGTATCATAGAAAACGAAAGGGCCGGAAAAGAACGGTCTCATGACGTAGAGTACAAATGTGCTGTTGACTAAGATGCGAGACCTTTGTAAGGATTATGAACGAAGGTTTAGTGAGCAAAAAAGCTGATGCAGTAACGGCATCAGCTATTGCAAAATAGAGAAACGGGCATGGGCTATGAGACCAAGCCATTTAAACCCCGTTTCAGAGCCATATGGAGTGCGTATTTTCCTCAGGAAAATCCAAAAAATTTATCATGGCTTCGAAAAAAGCGAAAATTTTATAACGTATTGACTAAAAGCTTTTTCGTCTGACACTCCTCAGAGCATAAAACGTCATAATAAGGGTCTGAAAGAAAACGATGAAAAATATATACCCAGTTGTGGATCGAAATAGGACAATCAGAAAAACGCAAGCACAAGACTGGTATAGTTTTCCAATCAGTGCCGCGTGCCTAAGGAAAAATTACCACAGGAGTCCAAGAGAGAAAACGAACTCCTTCTGTCTACACAATGGCGGCTTTTTCGTTTGCATATAGATTTTGTCAGTAAGGAATTCGCCCAGCCAAAAATATCACAGTCTTGTTTAGAAAGGGGGGGGGGGGCTGAGTCCTTAAAAACTCTGAATTATAACAACTGGGACTGAGGCGCCTCTGTCGTATACCAAATATGTTTTGTGCTGCTCCGGTTCAAAAGCGAAAACTGGTCAAAGGACAGCAGAACTAAATAACTCTGAGAAAGCGTTGTTGAGAAGTCGTTTGAGGTGACATTGTGCATAATCAAAGTTGCTAAGCTCCGTCGAATAAGCCTAGTATAGCTCTTTACTGACAAACCCAGAGATCGGTAGATGGAAAGGAGGATCCACACAGAGTAACGAGATTCGAGATCACATAAATTGAATTGCTCTGTATTCTTCCTTTTTTTTACCGAAAGCGAAATAATGCTTTGTAGTATTAAACGATGCATTTTCTGTTAATCTTAGATCTCTTTTTGTTCTACAAAAGATCACAAATTGATGAATCTGAAGCTTATGAAAAGCCCAACTCGGCGAAACTTCAGTTTTTGTTTAATTGGCTCGTGTGTTTCATTGTCAATGGAACAAATGTATAAAATACTTAAATAATGTATTTCTTAAGATAAGTGTCTAGCTCAAACCGACCCGTGGTACAAAAATCAATAAGACAGTAAATCAATGTCAAGTCACAATAAGTATTAGACCTGCTCGATTAACAGTGCCTCAATAAAACACGACCTCGAACCGTTTTTTATCAATCTTGATTTTCATCCAAGGACATCTATAAATCAAACGGCGAACACAAGACAGAGCTATAAAAAGTCAACGAGACAGGGCTATAAAGAAACACACAACAACAACGGCCTATGGAAAATTTGACAACGGGCAAGAGGAGCTGCAAAGGATTTGACATGAAAACTTATAAGTGATTATAATATGCAGGATAAACAAATTAAATTTCTCAAATGTAAATTTAAAAATAAACGGGCCAGAATACAAAAATGACCAAAAATTCGACAGATCAACATTTCTATTTTCTCTGAGGGATTCAGTCTAAGAAAGGAAAAGGTTTGACAGAAATTATGGAAATTGAAGGCATTAGAAAGAAAAAAGCAACACAAACAAGAAACTCAGAATTGTCTTGACTATTGGCCATTCACTCAATTTCAAAAAGAATTTTCACCAATAGAAGTGGATTTCTTGTGTACGGAGTCGATAGTGGGCTATGTTCGGTAAATATGTACAACATATGTCCGTTTATTTTCTTTAAATTCGGCATAGAATGTTCGACAATCCCGTAACTAGCACTCGTGCTCCCGCCCAGAAGGCGCTGGTGTTTAAAACAGCAGAATAATGCTTTTAAATCTCCAGGAATCAGAAAATGACATGAAAGTCACTTAGAAATCAATTCGGCATATGGCTTTTAAATATCTGACACCTAAACGAACTGCATTGTCGGCTAATTTCACGCGAATCAAACACAGATGTAAAAGGGAGATACCAAACAAGCACATCGATCTGTGCCAAAATGGTCAGGTGACATAGAGATACAAAGAGATGTTTTGTGATCGTTCGACGTTCGAAGATACAGGTCACCTTGCTTAAGCAAATTAACCCAGACAGTGCCTGTTTAAAAACTTGCCCGAAATAACAGAAAAAATTGTTTTTTGTTTTTTTATCTCCCGCTTAGAAGGAAAATATGCCTTTAAAAAGTTTCGCCGCAAATTAGAGAAGAGGTGCCGTTCTAGCGCGCTTGTTTGAATCTCACTCTATTAGAATGATCCATCGAGGAAATGAGATTGGGACGGATTTAATCATCTTCGGAGTGCAACCTATTACACGAAAACATATTCGTAGCCCTGTGCTTCTATTTGCTTCAAGGAACGTAAATCAATGGATTTATTCAAGCAATTCTGACAAAACTGACAGCAAATGTTGTTCGGAGGGGCAGGCTGCGCAAAAAAATCTAGGCAAGTTTGTGAAAATTTCACAAATTTAGGTGAATATTCAAACTTGTCGGCAAATCAAAGCTGTCTCACTCACTTTTAAGAACAAATTAAGAACACTCCACCCTCAAATTTTCGAAAAAATTAAAGACAGTATGCCTCAATTGAACTTTACTGATTCTTATAAAAAGAGTGTAATTTGGGAGTGTGGCGTTGCTGATATTTCTTCCAATGACAATTTTAGTCCATTTAATTTCATACATTGTATTGAAATTGTTTTCTTCTTTCAAGGTAAAAGATTTAAAAACACGACATTTGCTTTGTCCTTAAAGCTTATAGTCACCAAAACCGGAGGGCTGCAAAACCAAGACTATTAAGCGTTGATGGTATTTTAGAAATAGGATTTCGTTCTCTTGGAATTGGATTTTGTAAACTTTGCGTACATCAAAGAAGCTAAAACAATCAGATGGGAAGGACGTTTTGTAATTTGAACGAAAATTAAAAAATGGTCAAAAAGTGTACGAAGATTGACTATGAGATCTGATTAGGAAATAGGATAAATGGTGTTATCGAACCATCAAAAGTAGTTGATTCTTACAAGAACATGTCTGGAATGTTAATGTGTCATGCTTTCTGTTTTGTCATTTTTTGTTAGTTTATTAAAACCATCATAACTTTGGGCGTGAGTTATTGTACCCACTATCGGGTGGGGCGCTTCGAGGGTTGCCAGCGAAATTCCATTGTAGGGTTGGGGATATTTTAAATATAATATACAGAAAGGTATCTATGAAAAGTGTCTGGGTAAATTTTTAGATGCATCCTTTACAATACTTAGCAAAGCATATTTGTTATTTGTATTACTCAGCAAAATGCCCTTCCAATGCCTACCCCACAGCACAGAATCATTAGATCCTTTGAGGAATATTAGAGTGCCATGCAGGGAAAACTTTGAAAGCCAACAACTGGTAGAAATCAGCCAGACACCGTTACCGATCTCCGAAAGATACTTTTTTGAAATAATGAGAAAGAATAAGGCATTAATCAAGGGAGACATAGTATAACACTTTCTTTAAAAGGTTCGATCCCTTTATATCACATTTATAAACACAGTGAGCCCACTGACATCACAAGGGGGTATGGTCCTACAACAACAACAACATGAAAATTAGGAAATGTTTGGTAAATAGTCCTTTCTTATTAGTTTCTAAAGTAGCCCTCCTACTTTTGGACTAGACCCAGACAAACACACATTTTTCATAAGAAAATTAAATTTAAGTTCAGGCTGGCTGCTTTTAATTTTTTCTATAATCGGAGACTGGATTGTTTTTATAGTACCTACACATGGCTTAAAATCTTCGTTTTGGATATGTAACATTGTACATTTTACAGTAGCTAAGCCTTGGCTTGATCTCAATTTGCTTTATTACATTTGACCAATTATGAGGCTCGTGTTTTAATAAAATTGTTGAGATAAAGAAAGAGTGTAAAAAACTGGTGGAAATTGTACCCATTGAGCGCTAGGATGCAATAAATTTTCGCTTGTGATTTTATCTGTTTGGAGAGTGAATACACTAAATCACTATTGCAAGGAACGGGCCTATGCCAAAAACACCAAATAATTACCCTTAGCCACAGTAACAACAGAAAAGCTGAAGATTTCTCGAGGTTGATTCATTGTGGTGATAGTGCATGAGATCTGACAACTACTAAAGAAATTATGGACGCAGACGAAGATTATTATAGAGAGGTAATGGAATATTTGCTTGAGTAGGAAATTGGTTTTCCCTGACAGATCGTCTCAATATCTCGCCAAAACGTTTTGAGAGTTATTATTTGAATAGGTGTCGTCCTGAACCAAAAGCAAGATGTCTAAAATCACATTTCAAACCACACTAATGCCTTAACCGACAGACAGATCCTGATAGAAGACACCACCAAAGGATTTTCAGACAAAAAAGGATTTCATCAAAAATGGACGAAATTTTCATTGTGTGATTTGCATCTGGCACCACACCAATTTCTTTCCAAAATTTCTTTTTCACGGTTCAAACCCTAACCCTAACCATAACTCTAACCCTATCCCTAACCATAACTCTAACCCTATCCATAACCCTAACCCTAACCCTACCCTTACCCCTAACCCTCATTATTTGCTCCCTTGCCTTTAAGAACAAAGTGGGGCAAAGAGGCATTTCAGACAAGCTCGGCAGGTAAAGCAAACAAAATAATCACTGTAGCAGTAGCACTTACCCCTCCTTAACGAACATTTAAAAAAAGCTTTGGGGGCATGGTTCCCCTCGTGCTCCATGTCTCGGTTAGTGATGTTGAAAATTTCCAAAAATCGCCAAGGTGAATTCGAATAACTTCTTGACAAAAATGGCGGACAAAACGAATAATGATTGAAGATAAACTTACTATAATGAAAACCTCCTGGAAAACATCCAAATTGGAAGAGTTGCCAAAGGGCAGTATACAGCCGTCGACCTTGCTCCCAAAACTAAAGGGACAATAGGCAATTCTTTGATCATACAAAACCTTGGTCAATAATCGGGTCTTTTCATTCTAGTTGTAAATGGTGGGCTGAAAAGCAACTTGGCCCAACTTCGAATGAGAGATTAACACTGAACAAGAAACAATAAAATTACTGTACAGTGTCTGAGAAGTTTGTCAGAAATCGTATTATCACGTTTCTGCAAATCCGAGCACTGGCTGATAATCCCAAAATTCTTAGTCACTATTCGAAATAAGACGAAAGATAAAAACACTATCATGCTACGGCGTTTTCTAAATCCCGTCTCACAGTCTCGCACTAAGTACCAGAAAATTTTATTCATGTTTACATGGAAGCACTGAATAATAAAAGGGGATGCTGATCCTTTGTGTGATATTGTCAAGCGATGCTTTGCAAGTTTTCTTGAAGCAGTCGCTTGTACTAACAAGCTTCAGGATTATACTCTTCCCAGTTCACGTGTCATTGGTGAACATTTCATTTGGAGTTTTAGGGAGCCGAAGCTTGTTCAGTTTTAACCTTAACTAGCCGAAGATTTGACAACACAAAATGCTCACATCGATATTGTTGCTGTTGCTGTTGATCACAATGAGTGGATGCTATGCCTAATCAGTAAGGAATCAGAAAACTCAAGATGATGACGCTTGCAACTAACTAAAACAAGCAGTGCACTTAGCCTACTAAAAATAAATAAAGAAAAATAATACACAATTTCAATTATTTATTAAGAGAGACCACGAGGATAGACCATATCATCAGCAGTGATCAGTTGGCTAATCAGAAAACATGGAGTCTTGTGGGAGCGCAGAAAGATCCTGCATACACATACAAGTGTTTTGCAGTAAATTGTATCAAAACGCCAGACCACATAGCAATAGCATTCACAAACAAGCTCAACTTAATGCGAATTTTGGATAAAACGGCTAAAATAGCAAGGAAAACGGGCCGTTTTATAATTCAAAATCTCTAAATAATTAACCAAATCTTAATAGTTGGCGAGAGAACATTTAGTGTAAGTCTGCACAAAATATGAAGATATTACCAGATGGTTGTTTAAGCAAGTTAATTGCAGGTAGAAAAATGTCAAGGAAAGATCGATGTACTTTGCCTGCATTTGCCTGAGGAGAATTCTCTCTTGTTCCTTTTAGGTGAAAGGACAACAATTGAAAGTCCCTCGCAAATGCATTAAATCGAATAGGACGAGCTGCTAAAAGCTGTGGAAAAATTGTTCGGATATGACCGAAGGCAGCGTTTAATAAGTTGCCGACATAGTATACCACTAGAAGAAAGTAATTACACCGCTATCAGTAGAATTCTAAGGTCAAACTAAGAATATCCTTTGCGAAAGGAGCAAGAGTTAAAATATGATCGCTATAATCAGATTATCACAGGTACTATCAACTGCCTCGATATCATGAATTCGCCGACTTATCTATGCCAATGCTGTGAAATCACCTCGCTGTATGCTTCCTAACAAGACTGAATGGTAGAAGATTTATTGATCATTCAGTTTACTGTAGCATGTAACAGTGACTTCTTCTATTCCGCGATTAGAGAATATCCCCTTCAAATCTGGGTAATAGATTAACCCCTCCCAAGTGACAGAGATTGTCAATTCGATCAACTCCATGTGTATGACAACTAAGTACACATAACCCACAAGTTAAGGATCACTACTTTTAGGCACAACCCGTTGTGCGCCAAACACAGATGTAGGAACCGGGGTACAAAGGTGACACTTCCCCTTCCTCTCTCTCTCATTTTCCAGAAAAAGCTGTGGAGTGCCAACTTACATTTCATGGTTGAGTCGCATTTAACGTACACTAACGGCCATGTCACTCCCTAAAAAGTGAATGCGTTTATAAAAAATCTCCAGCAGAATTTGCATGGAGGACTTTTAACAGCCGAAATTTGCATCAAAGCAAATTTATCAATAGAACAAACAGGGGACAGTATTTGCCGTGCTTGAAGGAAATCATAATTGGCTTCAGGATTCCCATAAAAATCCAAAAATAAGAAAGAAAGCAGCTAAGATAGTCTAAGAATAACATGGCAAAGATTTGTTATTCTGCCAAGATCTCAGTTTTGAGCACCAAAGCTCTTACTGAAACTAACGAGCGGCAAACTACCCCATTGAAATTTCTTACACTTCAGGTGGAAATTCTATTGTTATAATAATCTTATCCTAAAAAACTTTTTTAGCGAAAATCTCGTACGCTAAACTGAAATTGTGACTGACTTTATATGAAGAACCGATTCGCAAACCATGGGGGTAAAGATTCTTTGTTGTGTATTGCAATCAAGACATTCGAATCAACACCAGACAGAATTTTTCAAAACCTGATTGATTCAACTCAATTACAAAAGTCAAATAGATAGCAAGTGCATGTTCTGTTTAGACTTCTGGTAACCCCAAATGAGCAGCCTAAATATCCGTGCTTACGTTCTGGTTTAACAAAAGCCTGGTACCCTCAAACTACCGACCTGCACGTACAAACAAGACGATAAAGGCCGCTGCAACCAAACCTGACCTTGATTGCACCTGACCTGTCTTTTCAATGAAAACATTTACGTACTCGCGAGATGCTGGAACGTAATTAAAGTTAGAAACAAAAACACTATTCGACTGTATTATTAAAATGTGTAATTAGGTCTTAATCTTTTTGCAACTATTTACGCTTTGCCAGAAAAAATGCCTGTTCATCAAAAAGTAGATTCGTAACGCGTTTGTACTCAAGTCCACCTGCACATAGCCATCTGCTGCAGAAATATTTAATAATTACAAATGACATTCACACCTGATCATAGTATAAATCATCTTATATCAAAGATGTGTTGAAGGATCGACGAGTTTCCTCCTTATAGATAAATCGTGGCGCTAGTTATTGTGATGTGAATAATGTGATGATTAATGAGGCGTGTTTAAGTAATGTTAGTGTGCCCCTTTCCAAAGACATACCATGCATTCTATGCAGCCAGGCAGAACGGTACTTTTTTATACTTAATTTAAAGTTGGATAAAAAGCTTAATTATAAACATTACAATAAGCTATTTAATACCAACTAAATGAAGAAATATAAAATAAACATGAGGTCGTAGACTAAGATGAGCTATATAATCTATATATCTATGTGATGTATCCTAGATTTGGTACATGCTGGGTGCATAATTTGCAGGTGCATGGAATCGCAATTTGTTTTATTTGCCTTTTGAAGATTTCTAGACTGGTTGCATTTCTCATTTCAGTTAGTATGCTGTTCCAAATTTGACTACACCTGTAAGATACTGTTTCAGTTCCATGTACCTGAAAAAACCATAGTGCGTACCAGAAGAGAGAAGAGTTCCAAGTCCGTTAGGCATCTTGGCTAGTCCTTGGCTAGAATCGTAGCTCGATCAGGTCATATTAGAACTTTCGGATGTATGAATTAGCAGATTTTAGAGTAGATGAATATTGTATTGCTCTTTGTTCTCAAATAATAAGATAAGGAACAATTCGATGTCTAATCATCAAGTTTCTATAGACAATCCCTTGATCTAGTGATAAACATGGCCTAAACTGGAAATGAGTATACAAGCAAACCTCAAAGTAGACGAATCTAAACCGAGACTTATTAGCCTGTGTTTTATGCCAAATTATTATTCCGTTTAATGAAATTTCACTTTGCAGAAATCTGATTCTTCACTTGTCGGTTCAGAAACGAGACATCTGACAACTTATATGTATCATCTGTTTTCTGTGAACCAATACATGGCAGAACTGCCTATTGCCTACATAACAATACTTCTATTTTACATTCTTCTTGCATTTCCACCGTGCAGGAGGAATAATTTTGCACATCTTTCCATGCTTCTCATGGCACGAAGTTATAACAGATAACTGACATTTGAATTTGCATAATTCAACTTTGATGACACGACCCCTGCATCATGGGCTCCATTACGATATCCCAGTGTTAAGCTATCTAAAACCAACTGTAGTATTTGGAAATGCATTTAGGCGTTGTTGGAGCTATTTTAAGCCACTTAGAAAGTTTTGAAGAATATTTAAGCAGCTTACGTTACTCTTATGAGATTACTGGCTATGTTTATCTAATCGACAGACTGCCATGCTGACGAATTAAAACAAACAAACAAAAAGACTCTGCTGTAAACAAACGATTAAGGGATGGAATATTGTCTTAAAGGAAGCTCAGCTGCAGAAGGCCTGTTACCGATGCAGTGGCAAAGGAATAAACTCTTTTCGCCGTCTCTTCATTACAATACTACGTCAGCAAAACGTTAACGAGTAATCCTCTTTTTTGCATTAAGGAATTCTGGCTTACTTAATGACGTTGACCAGAAGTAAGTTCTCAATCATGATTGAAGATGAGCAGATGAACCCACGCGCTGTATGCATCAAATTAAGCCTCGTAGACGTTATAACTCTTTTGGGAGATCTCAACACGTGATATTTGTTTATTTGAGTCCAAGAGATACAGAATATCATAATTTAGGCAGCAACGTAACATGGCTTCTATGATGAAACTAACCATTTCTGTTAAGATTTCTATGTTTATTTGCATAAATTTTATAAAAATCTTAGCAATTTTTGACTATTTCTATATGACTGATAAATGTAAATCATATTCTGATAAAAAATGAGCAATGTGTACATTAATTTCAGTCAATAAAATAAGCCCCAATGAATTATGTAACTGCATCTGACAATAAACACATCGATAGTTGTTTCCATGAGCAAAATAAGCAAACACATTGGCAAATTTGAAATGCTACGCTAACAATGCTTTTTAAAGCGATGTCAATAAATTTGGCTGATGAAAAACAAAAAATCAATGTTTATCTCAACTGTATATCAACACGACCGTTTTTATCACTTTCGAAGCACGCTCCTTGGCATTATCTGCATTGACAAAGACACAATAACGCTAACAAACCTAATCATAACAAACCAAAACGAAATAACAAGTGTTCTTTCAAAGGCAGGGCAAATACTTGTACACGAGATGGAGTCAGAGGATTCTTAACATCACGAAAAAATTGTAGTAATGACAATTTGTCAGTGCATCTGCACCCACCAGAGACGAAAAGAAGATGTATTCTGTACGAATTTGCATATTGAGCGAGAGTATGGAGCTATATTAGAGTACATGGTAGAAGGCTATCGCCAGTCTTAAACAAACTTGAAGTTAACTTTGGAAGGAAAAATTGATTTAGTCTAATTGCAATAATTCAGTCAGATAAAATGACAAGCTATCAAAACACAGGAGGGTTATCAGAAAAGCAGGACCGTCAAGAACGTTGTACATGAACAAAATGTGTCACCTTTTTGCAATATTTACGAGTTTACATAATTTTGCATAATTTACATAATTCAAGTCGTTGTCTATGATTCTAGTTATATCTTCTGGAAGTGAGTGAAATCACAATATAAAGATACTGAGGAAAAGTAAACCAAAAAGAAATATAATAGTGGTGGCAGAGAAATAAGGTGTGGAGGTGTAACTTAAAAGCAAGGAATTGATGCTTCGTACAAAAGTTGTGGGTAGTAGTGGGTGAAGTGAAGAGAGGTACGATAAACGTGTTTGGAAATGAATAAAGATTCAAGAATCACATGGTGGATGACACGTTGTCGAAGGCGAAGGCGAAAGCGAAAGTCATTCAAAACAAACAAACCACATCAAGAAGAAATTCGACTTTCGTCTTTTTGGGTAACATTTCAAAGGGCATAGGACAGGGAAGTTTTGGCTCGCTCATAGGACAGTGAAAAATAAAATTTTTCCTGACTTTGATAGATAGATAGATAAACTTTATTTACAGAGGATAAACCTGGTTAGCCTAACAACTTATCTACCCCAGGGTCCTCTCTATTAGCTACGTAATAAGAATATAATTTTTCAAACGATTTTTTAAAATAGTGTCCTTTAAGTTTCTAAAAAGCCTAGTAACAATTTTGTTTAAAGTAAAGTTTAAGTATTTAGATTTGAAACGACAAAGTAATACTGATAGATTCCTAAGTAGGTTGTAAATCTTAGAGACATAAACAAATGTCGAAAGACAAGAACAAAAGTAACTGTTACAAATTAAAGATCTGACGATTTGTACCACCTTGCCAAGAAAAAAGCACTTCCCTTCGAAGAGCTCAATCTCCAGCATAACAGAGCACTGTTAATTCCAGATTACACACCCACCGGCTATGTATTTAGCGAGAGTACGCTAAGATCTCTCAGATCCCAGCACCAGGGGACCTACTTTTGATTTTTTGTCTAAGGATAATGCTTCGACATGAGACCATCAGAAAAAGGATTTGCGACTGAGCTTCAAAATGAAACCGCGCTGAGGAGAAATCAGTTCTCATTGCTTGTTGCTTTCTTCAACTGGGTCTTTCGGATTTATGTTAAAGAGCTTACTATCATCCGTGAAAGAGATCGGACACTGAGCAGCCCCAGTTGGTGACCAACAATCACCAACAAATCCGACAAAGTTTGGATATTGTAGAACCAACAAACATAAATATAACGCAATAACCTCTCTTTCTCTCAAAACCAAGTGGAGAGAAGAGCATATATAAAAAGAAGTTCTCTTTGTGAAAAGCTTCTATCGATGCTAACCTGCTAAGAATACAGAGCAACCTGACATCTTAATTCGCGATTCGAACTATAAAGTTCTTTTCTATAGCAAAGTCATATTGATAAAGCTCATACCTCAAAAATGATGCTATCCAGCTGGCTTGAGCTGTGTGCGAAGAACCTGCGTCAAAAACATGGCAATTAAATCAGATTGAAACGATATATCTAACGACAAATCTAAATGCAGCACGGGAAATACAACACGGTTACGCTAACACCAAGCCAATCATTGGTTAAATCAAAATTCCCTCACAACTGCAATGCAAATATAATCAGAGGTCAAGCCATTAGTTTGCAAATAAACAGCAACATGTGTCTCCATCGTTTAGCTTTATTGTAAACAATTAAAAGACGCTACGCACGACAACGTCTGCAATAGGCAAAGTGCTACTGGCATTTAAACAAACGCATTTCTTTACAATTAATCTTGAGCTATATACAGAAATAGACGAGGTGATTGTAGCGATTTGCAGTGATGACCTTAAATCAAATGACGTAACCTTTATTTTTTTTAAATTGTTTAGAAATGGCTCTGGTAAGCAGATGGTAAGCAGGCATATTCGGTAGGCAGGCTTCTGTAAGGAGGTCATAAAACATATATCTATCATGAAAAGTCAAATCCTGAAATTCCCTGTGATTATTACATCCGTAGTTGTCATTCATTCGTTGGTGTTAGTCACACCAAATGTTGCTTGAAAACTTGTGACTGTAAACTAAGTGTGACTGTAAGATGAGCTTGATTGAATAGCTTTGCATATTTGGGTCTAAATTCTAAGTGACTGTAACCAGTAGTGTGACTAACAAGTAGTGGACTGACTATAAGCGGAATCGACTGTATTGGAGTATAGCTGATCGCTTGAATCGCTGATATCTCAATCATTGTTTAGCAATCATGATCATACACAAATATTATCAATACCAATCATTGTCAAAATCAAAGTGATCATTACAAGTGATCATCAAGTATCATTTCCATCAACAACGGTGCAATTATCACCACCAACTATAAAAAAGTTAACCAGAGTTCTATGAACGTAACAACACCTAGGGCTGATTGTATAAACATTAAATTGCATTAGAAAAATCAATATTAGGAAAATTTTGAAAAAGTCAAAAAACCATCTGGATTTTAGATCATCCTTCAAAAACGCTGATAAACTAAGAAAGTGCTTAACGTCAGGATTGATTAATCACAAAGTAGATTTTGTTAGCCGGTAACCTGCCTCGTCAACAATAATATTAAACAGTATCAATCATCATCAACCTCATTAGCTTTATAGACCACCGTTGTCACGATATTTTATGAATATTATTACCCAACATTATCAGTAATCATTACAAACACAACGAAAACCATCCTCATCATTATCGAACACAATACAAGGAGCAATCAAAATGCAAATTGGCCTGTCAAAGTGCCACTCATTTCTATCCATCCAGGTTGCAAAAGTCGAAAAAGGTACTGATGCTCATCTTCACTGACAGCTTGTCAGCACAACAATGATTAAGTGTCATCTTCGTGAGACAAACAAAACACACATTACTGTCAACTATGATATTTGCAATGACGTGATTTTGATATCCATTTTGACTCCAAGTGGATAGAACAGGAAAGGCTGTACGCAGTTGGACTACACCATTAACTGATACTACATATTCTTCAGGATAACATTGGCGCAGTCGTAGAATAAAACAATATAAAGGTGCTATAGATGCATCAATGTTTTAGTATCAGAATTGAAAACGATAGCGTCAACTAGCATTACACAGTCATTTTATGGGGAGATAGAGGGTCTTTTCACCACCAACCAAGGTCTCCCTTTGAAGAAAGACAAACCCCACGTGATTGTATAATTAAAGCCTCGATTACGTTTGTATATAAACTCTAACCATTAACCTCCAATTCAGACAATTACTTACTCGTATCACGAGTCGCTGTCTTCATTTCGTGTGTCACTCTAGAGTAGCGGACTTTTGTCTCCGTTACACCTTTCCCAATCGTTACAATAGAACAACAAGCACGTAGAAATTAATTAATACTGCGCATGCACTTGACAGCATAGACGGGGGATGAGTAATTCACGGGCAGGCCATCAGTTGTACCTCTCCGCAACATGTTCTGCCCAAGAGAAATGTCCAAACATTCTAAACACAAGACAAGAAGGGAGCCGAGGTTTTGAATAACAGGAAACGCGAGACAACTTTCAATTTTGCATGTAACAGCGGTTGAATTTCGAGGCACCAGTCAACAATGCGCATTTAAACCAAACATAAATATGTAATCTAATATATGTATGTTTAGATTGGGCCTCCAGCCAAGGAGAGAAGGCAAATAATTAATATAGAATGACGTTTAATCTCCAATATATTGTAATTAGTTTGTTTTCATATGTCAGGTTTCAATAATTTATAAGCAGCAGAATGGTATATCAAAGAAAGAAAGAGGAAGAAATTATTAAATAAAGGAGATTTGTACAAGATTTAAGAAGTTTACATTTCCAGGTTTAATTTGGCATACTGTCCCAAGATATTTGGATTTAGATTGATTAAAAATCCTTTCTATAGCTGCGAAATCGTAGTCGAAGTAAAGGATATGTAGTCTGGTGTTTTTGGACGTCGGAAGTGCGGTGCAACGAGTGAAAGTGCCCAAAGGAAGAAAATATCCCCAACATCTCCTATTTTGCCTATAGAAGGCAAACTTCAGCTAGGATTCCCGCCCAGTTATCGTGGTATGGAAAACCATAGGAATATAGAGAAATATGAGACAAAGCAAGTATATGAATTAGGTCGATGGGTAATAAAATGGAGTATCGTCACTTCTGGTGGCAGACTGGGCCAAAAACATGGGAATTCGCGAAACAAAGTCAAAAGCAAAGCAATGTTCTTCCAACAGCCATTAAAGCTTCTTCCACATTTTAGGCTTCACATCAGCTACCAAGGTGACAAGTCCGTCGGGCATGTTAATAGATGTATCATTGAGGACAGAAAGTTACAATTTGACGTCCCAATGAAAACAACTTGACAATAAACTGAGCAGTAACAGTAGAGAATGATTAAGAAATTATTTAAAAATTCCTTTTTGATCTCCGATCAGACTTTACTGGATATAAAGATCTCCTCCACAGTGCAGTATAATGAAGACTTCTACTGCGCAAATGTCAATTAGGGTTAAACTATGACATACAAACGACTTAAAAGAAAGCGTCCCTTTTTGTCATAGGTCTGTGGCATTTATTCTCAGGTATAAATCACATTATGCAGCCAAGGGCTTAACATATCGTTGCCTAACTCCTTTGACCCAGGATGAGGGTTTATCGGGAAAATTCATGAAATCTAAGAAATTGGATTACTGAGAATGGAGAAAACTAAAGAAACCACGAAACAAAAGCAATTCACTAAACACAACACAGTATCTAGAAAAATAAATTTTAGGCTTTTTGAAATTATTTAGAATGGCAGAGAAAACCTTTTCAGCGACGTGTGAGAAAGCGGTCGTTTTATCAAATACATTACAAACACCAAATTTATTTGTTTGCAGTTGGTAGGTGGGTCAAACAAGATCTTTTACGTTTTTCAGTCAGACCAAATGAAAGACGTTATACAAGAAAGGAATTTTCAAAGACTGTCAAAAATGCTTACGAAACGAATAAGGAAAATTACATTTAGCTATGAGAATGAAGCAGAAACCTAGTTTTGGAGACGTTTCTTCTCCTTTTCATAATTTTCATGATAGATTTTGCAAAAACCAAAAATGTATTTATATCTGCATCATAATATAATATAATGGCCAAATTGAAGGGAATCGTGAAGTGGTATCTCATATGAATTTGGAAAAGGGGTGATTCAGCTACCAAATGGCTTCTAATATCAGGCACGGTAGTATTAGTTTATCAAGCCTGGCAATGACGTCACGCAAATATAAAAAGGGTGTTGTATTCTATCAGGTAAAGTGCCTTGAAAAAGTGCTGATGAAGCTTATATGACATCCTCATTAAGAGATTGGCCTTTCGTAAGAACTCAAAATTTGCATTTCACACAAAATTTTTAAAATTTACTTTCTCCTCAAGTAAAATGCTATTTCTCAGCAACAACCTAAAAAATTTCATTGCTTTTATTATTGGGAATTTCTAATTGCTGCACTAATTTTGATCTCTAAGAGGTCACCTCTTCTTCCTGACTCTATATGTGCTACTAAACTATACTCCTGGAATCTTTAATCTTGAAAATGATACAGGTTCTTTCGATACTCTCGAAACTTTGCCTTTGTGTTGATAACAAGCTAGTCTGTCGTAATATCGCTAACATATCACTCTCTGTTGCAATATCGACAGTTCGCTACAACGCCATGAAGGTGAATGAAATAAAAAGACAGAAATTTGTTCTGTAATTCAGAGCGATTTTTTCAAGGCAAGTTGAAAGCACTAACACTTGTTACGCTTACAACGGCTGGTAATTTACTTGTGCTATTGATCATGTATCAGCTTTTGCACTACTACCAGGAAAAGACAAGTCAAAGGATCAAAATAATAGCAAAAAACAAAAGATCAACAGATCTTTGCCAGTTTTGTCCTGTAAAGCATTGCAGAACGGCTTTTCAAACAGCAAAACATTAAGAAGAGATGGTAGGGTGCTTATTCCTAAAAGCATATGCTTCTACCTTAATGGCAAGACGTTTTGCAATTTTTCAGCCATCTATCCAAACGGCAGCCACTTTTCAAAATGCATTGCTGATTTAGTGATATAAAAAGGTAAAACTCCTAAATCAATAGTGTCAACGAACATTTTATGCAATTACGGTACCTTAAAACAACACGGATATACAAAAATTCAATTTAGAGAGTTTCTTTGAGCAGTGAATCTTGCTTTCCTTCGCTCTTCGTTCGGATATGCGAACATTGTCTTCGATAACTACGAAAACTTTATGAAGCCGTTTACAGTTGGAACACGAAGCACGAAATTTCAATACCAAGCCTGGAGGCAAGTACGGCTTGTTTTCAAACCTGAAACTACAGATAATCAATAACTCCAAATGTTTTATGCTAGATA